AACATGCATTGCATTACTTGGTTTGGGGTGTCAAACCAAGTGTGGGGGGTTAAGGAGCGTTCATACTTTAAGTGATGTAACGCGTCTTAACTCTCGGTCACCGGGGCCCTTGACTCTAACATGATAGGGTCTTGGTCCTCATTTGTGTGTTGCATGCATTTCTACATCAAATGGCAAGCTTGATCTCTTAGGCTATCATGCACAATTGATGGCTCGAGGATCGAGGGCCATGCTTCCCTGAGTTCAATACATGATGGGGAACATGACTATGCTCACATGTGCCTGAAATCCCATGCCATATACTGTCTGTTCTCTGTTGCTGTCAAAACTGTCTTCTGCAGGAAGTCTCTGCCGACCGGCAGTGTTCAGTGCCGACCGGCAATTCTTACTGGGCCGATAGCTTCATAAACAGCCGATGGGTATTTTAAATGGCTGGTGGACATTTCCTTCAGCCGATGGTGTCCCACAGTATTCAGAGGACCTGTCCCAGGACTTTGGAAATTTTTAGAGAAGCAGGGCAGTGTAAACAGAGGCGGCAGTGGTATGGTACGGACCTTCCGGGCGAGACGGGTTCGAGCATGCATCATTCGCGCATCCCAAGGCGGGGGCTGCAGCCACCTTTCTTTTTGCATTCATTCTGTTAAATAATTAGAAATTCTGTAATAATTTATGCGTTTATTATTCGACTGTAATATTTATTGGACCCTCCGATGAGGAGCATTATGCAATAAGTGTGCGTGAGTGTGTGTATGCTTCCAACCCCACGTCTTTCTTCCCGCTTTTATTATACCTGCTTTGATGTTAGTAATAGGACATGTTTAATTTAGCATACCTTATGCTATGCATACGTTGCATCATTCATCCAGTACTGCATGCCGGCCGGCGCATCAATGCTAACTGCATTAGTATTTCAAATCTAACTTGAATACATGCTACTTGTGCATTTTCATATGCCATGTTAGGTTAGCCGAGCCTATTCTAATTGCATCCTGCATTGTGTTGCATTAGTCAATTTGACATGACTAGGACCATGCAATGTTGGCTAACTAGTTATTGTTTGGCTCGGATGTACTCGGTAAGCATTTATGCTTTAGCGTATCTCATGTATGTGAATGCTATCATGACAGCATGCTTACCATGTGGCTAAATGCTTAATGTATAAACTGCTTGGATGCCTGTGGGTGAAGGTTGGATTGTTTGAGTTGGAGAAACTCGTTGAAATCCGTATTTTAGCCTACTTGCGAGTAGCAAATTCCAAAACATTTTTCCAAAACAAACGGATATGCAATGCTTATTTCCAAATTAGGCAATCTAGTCTATACTTGTTTGCTGTGCGCATAACATAGTAATTCTAGGCTAATAAATGGAATAAGAACACATAATGTTTTCAAAAACGGATATCACGGTTAGTAGAGGCCGATCTTCGGATCGGGCGAGAGGGGGTGCTCATAGCTGACCTTCCCCAATCGTACCCAAGCTCCCGAGCCAAGGCAACTTTGGTGATGACGGACACGTGGCCTTTGGCACCGAGTCAGGGTTTCCTAAATTTTCCCATTTTAAAATATTTAGGTGGCGACTCTGTATCTGGCAAAGCAGTCCATGTTTGGCACTTCTTTTCAAAAAATCTGTTTCTCAAAACGATTTGCCGGATTTGGACTCTTTGGTTCAGACTTAGAACCGTGACACAAATCGAGTCCGAACTGTAGTAGCGAGGGCCCCCACGCGGGCGCGTCTACAGCGTTAAAAAAAAAAAAAAAAAATTCTTTTGAAGTCATGGTTGAATTTGAAGTTAGAACTTGGTTATTCAACATGTTTTTGTGTTTTTGGGTTGTGATTTGCATGAATTTGAAGTTGGGATTGCACAAATTGAGCTTCACCTTCGAAACAGATTTTCGATCTGTATTCTAACCCAGACCGCTTGTGCGACCTGGGCCATCGCATGAGCGGTCGACCGTCTTTTGCTTGACTTTGCATTCTGCTCGCTAGTGCGGCTTGGGCCACCGCACGAGCGGCTAGGCACCGCACGTGCGGCCAACAGGGCATGTTCAGTTTGATTTTCTTTCTATTTTCCTGCCTTCTGGGCCTCCGTTTGCATGATTTTCAATTGGTTTTCATATGTATTCGCATTTCATAACTATGATGAGAATTAAGGAATGAAAATGAGAGATTTAGTGATGAGGTAACGAGCAAACTAAACCATTGAGACTATATGTTGAATCATTGTACTTGTATGTGTTTATGTAGGTCAGACCCCGCGTCCTAGCCACGTGATCCATGGAACTAACTGTGAGTAGCAATGTTGTAAAGATATGTTTAAGCTATATTTCTTTTTTATTGTCATTCTTAGAGACTGTTTCTAAAGCGATGTGATCTACTGAATGAATGAGTGTTCCACCTTATGCAATATGTTCACGTGGCTCTTACCCGATGGTAACAATACCGTAGTTTATGTTCACGTGGCCCTTACCTAGAGGTAACAATACCGTGATCTATGTTCATGTGGCCCTAGCCTGGGGGTAACAATACCGTAGCCTATATTCATGTGGCCCTCGCCTAGAGGTAATAATACCATGACCAAATGTGTACAAGATGTTAAATTATATGATCGTCCATACCGACTATGATTTTAAAAACCGCTACATGTGCACGTGGATCCATATGATTGCTATGCTTTTATTTAACGAACATGATATTGTTATGTGAATGGACTTGTTATTGTAACTGCTTGGCCTTAATGTCTAAATGGGCATTATTCCTAACCTCTTTACACATATGTTATTCACTGTGCTTTAGCTCGCAGTTTATATTTATATATGTAGGTGATCAAACTCAAGAGAGGGCATAAGGGCGTCAACCTATAGTTTGTTTTTGTGAAGCCATCCGTCGTGCCTCACATCGAGATTTCTTTTGGTCTCTCCCCAAGACTCTTGGATGAATACGAGTTCACTCTTTTGATTGTAATCAATGATGTGGTTTTGGGTTAAGGTCTTAATTTTTATGAACTTTTGTTATTAGCGACCAATTCCCTAGTTAATGTAAATATTTTGTACATGGATATGTGATGGACTATGTGCATATTTGTATAAATGAAATGAAGGTGTTTTGTCTCATGTATGTCACATGGCTCGTTGGACGTTTTTACTTTATTATTAATGGCTTCTACCAGCCCCTATTTCTATTTATTGTTAAGCATGCCTTTGGTGATATCTGATTGCTGGTCGGTTACGACTTTAATCCCGAGGGGCGGGGGTTGGGTCGTGATAGAGTGGTATCAGAGCACGAGTTATACCACACACACGTGTCCAAATGAGCTATAGGATGTCCTAGAAAAGAAATTAGGACATTATATTGCATGTGTGAGTGTGTGTGGACTTGATATACGCATAAATGATATGAAAGTGAGAACTGTCTTGCCTATGTTTATTATTTCTTGTTTTATATAGACAAATGGAGAATGCAAGAAATATAGATGACTCAGAGTCGTCGGATGCTAGAATAAACAGATTGGAAAGAATGGTAGAATTGTTGACTAAATCTTTGATCCAAAGTTAGCAAGCCCCACCTCCTCCACCTCTGGTGCAACCTGAATTGATCAACAATGATGACATTATAGCCTAACACAGAAGTTTAGTAAAATGAAGCCGTCAACTTTCCAAGGAGGTTTTCATCCGTTGAAAGCCGAGGCTTGAATCCTGGAAATAGAAAAGTTGAAGAGCCTCCTAGTTCTATCCTCTCTTTATTAACTACTGACATGATAAATGTTGGCTCTAGAAGAGATTAAGATCTCCAAGAATCTATCTGTATTTTCCTGTTTGTTAACTCTTCATTTGAATTAAAAAATATATATATATATATATGATGTAGTACCCTTCAAAAATTAAAAACATACAAACAAATAACAATAAAAATTATTCATAAACAAGAGACAAAATTATCTAAAATTTTTAAATGTGACTATGATTGAATTAGTGCATTGTAGAATTATGTATAAAATAATCTGAATCACATGTTGATATTTATAAATAAAATTGGATATGTAGTATTAGTGAACAAATAGATTAGCGTTAGTTAAGTAGGTCAGAATTTTACATCTCATTAGAAGGGTCAAGGGTAAGTCTTTCCACGCATAAGCATGCAAGACTCCCGACCAATTCTCTCAAGTCAAGCTCTTCAACGTACTAAAAAGTAGAATTAAAAAAATACTATAATTCACAAAGAAAGAAAAAACTTAGAAAATTGTTGAGAATTTGAATATTTGTGTGACTCCCAATACACTAAATTTAAAACTATATCATATATTTAATTTGAAACCGTGGGGCCCTCCAGTCCGATCATGAACTGGAGGGTATTGTTGGGCCCGTGGGGGCCCACCACGGGTCTCGTTTCAATAATCCGAACCGTTGAATGTGTAGAACTCGTCGAATATTATCTGCCTGTAAAATATCACGTTGATCGGATATCGATAGTTATGTGATCAAATCAGTTTTGCATTTAAAAAAATGAATGATGAAAAATAAACGTCTGACAAAAATCGGATTTGATTACATAGCTATCAATATCTGATCAACGTGATATTTTACAAGCATATAGTACTCGATGAGTTCTACACATACAGTTCGGATTATCAAAACAGGACCCGTGATGAGCCCCTACAAACCCAACAATATTCTCTAATCCGATAAAGGATTGGAGAGAAGCCACTCTCGTAAGTATATCATGCATGGCATGCCCAAAACAGAATGCTATAATCATAAAAGATGTATACTAAGGACACCCCCACTAAATCCAAATAAATTTGGTTGTTGTTTGTTATGGAACTTGAACCAAAATGTCCAATTCGTTAAGAGAGCTACATGCCAAATTTTCATAGAGGACTGTAATGCACCATACATCACTCCTCTCTCTCTCTCTCTCTCCCCCCTCATGTGGCCCAGGTAACCTCCCACACTAACACTCACTTATAAATATCACAATCTCACTTCTCTCACTTCCAAGTGTAAGCTAGATATATTAATAAGTTTTCTTTCTCTTTCATGTCATAGTTTTCTGTTCTGCAGTTTTCCATGGAGTTCCACCTCCTACCCATCCTTGCATTTCTTTCTGTGAGTTTCTCAGCTCCCAAATCCTCAGAACAAAAAAAGCATTTTCTTGGGATTTTGTTTTGTAAACACCACCCCCCCTCTCTCTCTCTCTCTCAATATATATATGTAATTTTTATTTTATTTTATTTTATTGCAATTTTGAGCTGTTTAATATAAAAATAAAAAATAAAAAAAAATAAAAAAGATGAGTTGAATATGAAAATGGTTTACACCATATTTGGTTAGGAAATTTAAGAAGGGATTTAGAAAGAGAAAGGGAAAAGGTATGTGAAACTAGGTGAAATGTATGTATATTTTATTTATATTTTATCTATTTTTCATTTTTCCTCTTTAAATATATTCGTAAATCTCCCAACCAAATACAACGTTAGAGTATTTTCAAAATGACTTGAAATCGTTCCTAGATATGAAATTTTACAGTTTGCAATTTGAGGAGCATTCTTGAAAAATAGAAAAAGCGTAAGGAAGTTTCGTCTTCTATGTTGTGTGCTTTTAATAATTGAATAGATATATGTACTTGTATGTGTATATCTATTTTGAATAAATTACATTCATACTTTTTATAGTTTATTTTTCATGCAATTTAATTATTTCAGTTCTAATTTTGTTAATTTTACTTTTGACTTTTTTATATTATATCAATTTAATTTAATTGATAACACTTTTTAGAAATTGAACTAAAATGAAATAAATAAAAAAACTCCATTCACACTCCTCAAGTGAATGAGAAGTTTGTGTCCAATTTGAAATGGCCTATTCTCTTTTACATGGACCATTATGCCTTTTATTTTATCCAATTTCTTATTAAATGTTATTAATTTAACTAAACTAACACAAATATGAAAAAATAAAAAGTAAAATTAATATAATTGAATCTATATGGACTAAATTGATATAAGAGACAAATTACAGAAACCATGGATATAATTTGTCCATGTATTTATGTCCTCAACAAATTAATACTTTAACTTTTCTTAACGAACGATATGAATGATGAATGTTTTCGAACTTTTCATTATTTTTTGTTTTCAAAAACATAAAAGCCAAAGTAAAGAAAAGTTAAACAACATTTGTTGAAGACATAAATAGATGGACAAATTATATCCATGGTGTGCTAGCATATGATTGGGCACTCTTATCGGTACCAACCTAGTTGGGACTGATTTGTTTCGTTATGATACTTTTGCACTTATCCTCTCCTTCTCCTTTCTTCTTTATTGATGTAATTCTATTTTTGTTCATCAATAAAGTATCCCTCTTTTTTGTTGATCAAAAAATATCGTTTCCATTTTTGTATAAAAATAAAGAAAGATTAGTAAAGCATCTCTCTCTAACTTTGATGTCCAAGATTTTTTTTTATTAACTACGGTCCCTTGATAAAATTTCTCTGTGACCATACTAGAGAAATTTTTCTCTGTGAAAATTAAAAAATTTCTATGTCGAGATCGAAATTTCTCTGAGTCGAAGGAAATTTCTCTGAGTCGAATTTTCTCTGTGAAAATGTTGAGGGACCTGAACTACTATGAAAATATTATATGTCATTTATCTTATAAAAACTTAATATCATGGACCTTAAAAAAAAAATTCCTCTAAAAATAATTTATGAAAATATGAAAATAATTTTTTTATTGCTTCCTAAAAACAATTATTTTATATTAAAAAAATCATTAAAATAGTCTTCAAAAAATAATTCGCCTATTAAATAAGTATTTATGTAAGTTAATGCAATTTTTTTTGGTATTCAAAGTGAGAAGCTAATTAATGAGATTTTTATTTTTTTTTTTAATACAGTTGACGTTGGTGGCAAGTCATGCAACTCTATCTCCTGAAGCATACTGGAATTCGGTTCTGCCAAACTCTCCTATGCCTAAGGCTGTCAAGGATCTTTTACACCCTGGTTAGTCTTCTACTTTAGACAGTAATAATTTAAGATTTTTTGAGATCTTAAATGTTAAAATAAGATTTTATTTTACTAAAGTCTTTAAAAAAATGAAGACTTAAATAATATATATATATATATATAAATTTTCTCGAGAAGCCTTGGACTAGGGCTAAATGGCCGAATTAATGTTGAGCCACCTCTGCTTATAGACTCCTTACCTCTTTGTCAATTTATTTTTTTATTTTTATTTTTATTTTTTATTTTTTTAACTTGGTAACTTTCAACACTATTTGCTTCCATGTAAAAACAAGGGGAAATTGTGATGGAGGTAGTTGCTCTTCGGTCCATGGTGTTGTTTGAATTTCATTTTGATGATCTGAATCGTTTATTTTAACAGATATTTTATATATTTTATTCATACAAAATATTATACTGATTCGATAATCATAACAATTTCAATTTATCACGTTTGTCAACCAAAAAAAAGATGATGGCTTGGTGGTGAAGATGCAAAAGTGACTCTTTAGTACCGGCTATTAGGGTGTGAGACTTATGCTCATTAATTTTTTGAATCATTAACTCTTTGCTATTATACTTTGATGATATTAAGGTCAGGCTTTGACTTAGCTTGTTTTGAGGGATTATTTGTGAATTTACATGTCCTTGTTTCTCTTATTGACAAATAGAAATTCTTATAATCACACTAACGTCTCATTTGGTAACATCAATTTTTAACATAAAAGTCAAAAAGTCACTAAAAAAAATTAAAAAGTCAACAACCTACACCAAAAAGTCAAAAAAAAAAAATTTCTCGCTATTTTTTATACATCTTTTCATAAATAACTAAAAAGTCATTCTAAACATATTAAATTTTTTTATATCATATTTTAATTAAAAAGCTAACAAAAATATTAAAAAAACATGTTCCAAACGAAACCTAAAAGAGAATTAATTGCCATGGATTGATTTCTTCACTAACTCTTTTACTCAAACAAAAAGTAAAGAATCATTATTTGGACGTTGATTGGGCAAAATTAATTTTATCTCAATTTTCACCTAAATCATAAGAGAACGAAGGAGAAAAAAAAAATAAAAATAAAAGATGGATGAAAAACATATGAGCCACTACCGCCTCCTTCTCCACTCCATCCCCCAATCCTCACGACTTGTTTCTTCACTAAAGAAGTATGTAATAATTAATTAAATGACACTACTAAACAACTTTTTTGGCCACACCACTGCCGACAACCCCTTCATTTAAATCATGGAGCGAACAAAGAGGTAGGAAAGAGATGAGAGGAATAGATACATAGGAGGAAACATCACAAACCTCGTACTTAATTTTATCTTCGAAATTTGCAGAATGGATGGAAGATAAGAGCACCTCAGTCGGGGTAGGGAAGGGCGGCGTAAGTGTCGATGCAGGGAAAGGAAAGCCCGGTGGCACTAGTTTTGGTGTTGGGAAAGGAGATGCCTTAGTTTACAAACACGCTGCTACTGCAGATCAACTCCATGATAATGCCAACATCGCTCTTTTCTTCCTGGAAAATGACTTGAAAAAATACACAAAAATGACATTGCACTTCACTAAAACCACCACATCAACAACTTTCTTGCCTCGCCAGGTTGCCGAGAAAATACCCTTTTCATCCAAGAAAATGCCACAAATTCTTGACTACTTCTCAGTGAAACCCAACTCCATGGAAGCCAAGACAATCGAGCAAACAATCAAAGAATGCGAAGAGCCTGGAATCAAAGGAGAAGAGAAATATTGCGCAACTTCACTGGAGTCCATGGTCGATTTCTGTCGTATCAGGCTTGGGAAAAGTATCCAAGCAATCTCCACAGAAGTCAAAAAAGAAACCCCTTTGCAAACATACACTATTGAAGGAGTGAAGAAGATGGCAAGCGATGCAACCGTAGTGTGCCATAAGCAAAACTACGCGTACACGGTGTTTTATTGCCACAAGACACAAACCACAAAGGCGTACAAGGTTTCAATGGTAGGCGTCGATGGAGCGAAAGCAGAAGCAGTTGCAGTGTGCCATACCGACACATCGGGTTGGAATCCGAAACACTTGGCCTTTCAAGTGCTCAAGGTCAAGCCAGGGACTGTTCCAATTTGCCATTTCCTTCCTGAGGATCATATAGTTTGGGTTCGTAACTAAGATTGATCTTTGCAAAAAAGAGTCATCACTACTTGTTTAATTAGTTTTTTATATGTTTGTTTTGCTTGTTTTGGATTGTCATCATAATCTGAAAAACTCTACTCAGATATATATATATATATATATGTCGTCTTTACATATATGTATGTACTATAACAACTCTCCCACCCACATATGCATATGCATATGAGCTTGACATAAAGGTGGCTTGTTTTCCAGTAATAAATAGATATGTTGTCCCTGGTGTTTAGCACTACTTAAAACTACTCCAAAATGTTATACAATACCAGAAAAATGCTATGCGTTCAAAATTTATATCTTGATAATTATTCTGAAATTGAGGTTTGTATAGCATATTTAAAGTTGGTATGATATGAGTTATATATGTGGCAATAAATGTAACTCATTGATATAAATTTTTGAATATATCTTTTTGGAAAAAAATTTTAGTATGTAGCATTATCATGCTTAATTGCTAATAATTATCGGTAGCCTATATTTCCTTGGCATATTTACCAATAAATCCCATCTTACAAAAAGGTATTCCAATTAGTCCTAAATTTTTTTTTATTGATATGTGAAGTCCTATTAATGGAGACTTTCGTTCCGAGTGATTCTATTTTTTATTTTGGTAGTATTTTGGTAGACAACTATACCCTTTTATTAATGTGACAAGTATGATGTGATACTCCAATGTGACAAGTATTAATGTGACACTTCAACAATGTAACACTCAAAAAAAATTTAAAAACTCCTTACTAAACTTTTCCTAAATGTGACAATATGACAGGTATAATGTGACATTCCAAAACTTTTACTCCAAAAAAAAAATAAAAATTCTTTAATATATTTTTTCTAAATATGACAACGTGACGAGTATGATATGATATTTAAAAAAAAAATAAAAACTCATTAATATATTTTTTTTAAACATAATAATATAACGAATATGATGTGACACTATAAAAAGAGATGTCCCATGTATATTCCAAGTCGTACTTGTTTTTTACAGTGTCTTCTTTCGATGTTTCAAGCAATTCTGCCACCAAGCTTGGAAATATACATGCCCTGTAAACAAAGGAAAGTATGGTATGTGGTACTATGGTTCTTAGCATTTAAGTTGAGGTAAAAAGTTGTCAAGTCTGTTGGTTTTCCCAAGGACGAAGTGATCTGGAGTGACCGAAGTTGCGCTCTAGCTACCACTCTTATTTTTTAATCTTTGCTTGAGCGAAGAAAATTATGCTCGAACGAAGACCCTATTTTCAGTAAATTTGACTAAGTGTTGAATAGCATGTTTTGACATTCCCAGCATTCTTAGGCCATGATTAAGACATAACAATGAAGGTAAGAATTAGAAACACACCAAGATAAGAAAGAACTAAGTTAATAATTCCGAATGTGTAATTCAGTACGTATTCGTTCTGTGTCTGTGTAGATCACGCATCGCAAGTTATCTGATTTGTCTGCTCTGTCTGTCTGCTTTGGAGCTATCTGTGAGTAATAACTTTGTAAAATTATATTCACGTTTAAGTATTTTCCTATGATATGATAAGAAACGATCTATTTTTCTAAAATACTATGTTCTGTGTCAAAGAAATACATTTGTTGAAAAACATTTCATGGGCTGGCACAATACAACCCAGAAAAAGGAGAAGGTAGTTAAGTTTTTTTTTTTTTTTTAAAAAAAAGTTTTTTTTTTTTTAAAAAAAAAAAAGATTTCACTCTACAGGTCATAATCAATTTTTAGATTAGGCCGTATAGTAGAGAATTCATTCCCGGACCTTGTACACACACCGCCTGTCACACTTCTCTTTGCTTAAAAAACAAAATATTACTTTGCTGTCTGCTTTGAGTCCTGTTAAATAATAATTTAGATTGTCCAATTAATAAATGTGCATATTTCTCACATTATTAATGAGGAATAAAGATTGAGACTCCCTTTCCCCTCATTCCCTTTGACTCCCTTTCTTTTTTTATTGGTCACTTTTTCTTTTTCTTTTTTTTCTTTTCCTCCAATCACCACCCGCCATGTGTGTGTGGGGGGTAGTGGGGGTTGAAGTTTGAGAGGGTCTAAATCACGTATTAATGAGAGTTCGAATCTCATTTTGTTGAATCATAATTTAGATTATAAATTTATAGAGTCACATTGTTAATGAAAGTTTGAATCTCGTCTTATTTGCTCGCTTCACTAATTTAGAGGGTGACTTTTTAAATTATCCAAGTGTCTAAACAATCCTTGATTAATAAAATAAAATAAAATAAAAAATGATTGCCCATCCATCACACCCAAATGAATTACAATAGGCATTACTAAAACGAATTGTTCATTCCAGCTGGGCTAAGTTCACCATGGTTAAAATATAAAACTAAATAACAAATGAGAGGGTTAACCAACTCTGAAGGCAGGTTCTATTCACCAATAAAATCAGATTGCTTATAAGTTCATTGGTAAGACTTTTGACCAACCAAATCAAATTGAAAATTATTAATAGGATGAACTATCACTAGGTCCTAATAGTTGGACTTAATTTTCATCAAGTCCTATTGAAAATAAATCTTGATAAAATTATTGCTAAAAATAATTTTTTGTGACAATTTTTTACATACGTCATTAAAAATTGAAAATTAGTGACTTTTTTTTATCATAATTTTTATAAATTGCTGCTAAAACTTATAATTAATAACATTTTTTTATAAATTTTTTTTTCCATATGACCTATTAGACAATAAGTTCACTTATTAAGACCACACCTAAATACCCCAAATTAATATTCATTACCAGATAAATTTGACTATTCTACCGTTAAAATTTTCTATTTCATCTTTGATTAAAAACACTACGGAACGATTTATTAGGATTTCTGAATAATTACACACAAATGTAATTGTTCACTCCATCTGAGAATAACATATGTGCAATCTTTGTTTGGTTCGTTTTGTATAATTATACTTTTTCAAAAAATATACTAAGATTAGGGCCCACAATAATTTTATATAGATATAGTAAATTCTGCCCCTACCTATGTAGTTGGATAATGATTTGTCCCCCTAATTTTTTCCCCCTGAATCCCCCGAAATCACGGAGGCGAGAGAGAGAGAGAGAGAGAGAGGGGGGGAGAAGAGGGGTGCGAGCCTCGCCACCCGCCGTCGTCGCCTCGCCGCCAGCTCGTCACAGCAGCAGCAGCTCCAGCTCCGACCGCCGTCTCCGCCTCCAGCCCCGCCTCCGCCTCCTCCTCCCCTATGGTTAGGGCCCCCTCCAGTCCTTCTCCTCCTCCTTCCTCCTTCCTCCTTCCCCTCCTCCTCTTCTCCTTCTTCCTCTTTCTTCTGATTTCTGCTTCTGAAAAAAAAAAAGAAGGCAAAAACGATGTCGTTTTTGCCTTTAAGGGGATTCGAAGGGATTATTTTCGAGCGACGTAGCATTACCCCTATGTACTTTTCTATTTTTATCCAAAAGGAAGAAATTCCCATATAGATTCGCATCACACAGCCTGATTCCTACGTTAAAACAAAAGATCACACGTTTTTATATATCTAACATCACACGGTATGTTTTTGTATCAACCTTTTGGGAGAGACATCAATTTGGTATTAACTAACTTCCAAACTGCCCATAACGTGCCTTAAGGATAACCATGTCCCAGTACTTTCAAAACAAAAAACAAACAAGTCCTAAGCACTCAAAAAAAAGGTTCAAATTGCCCAACTCAAACTCAAACCACTTTCCCTCCCCTCCCGCCATCCCTCACGTGTCCCTCAAAACTTTCCAAAGCATCTCAGCCCTACAAAAACACCCTTCAACAGGACATCCCCTCTTGAAATTTCCATTCTTCTAAACTGTCACGACCACATTCCTCTCTCCTCCCTCCAATGGACTCTGTTGCCTCCAGCTCATCCCCGCCAGACCGGCCGCCTCAATCCCAGTTCAACATAACACAACCGGTTGCAGATCGGATACTCAGAGCCCTCAGGCACCGCCTCCGCCTCCTCCACCGATCAGAATCCGACTTCTTCGTCTTGGGAGCCACCGGAAATGTTTACACGGTGACTTTATCCACCACCCCGTCCTGCACTTGCCCTGATCGTACCACCCCGTGCAAACACATACTTTTTGTTTTTATCCGCGTTCTGGGGGTTTCTCTTGACGATGGATGTCTCCGGAGGAAGACTCTCCGGCCATGCCAGCTGAGCCGCCTGCTTAGTGCACCTACGTCGGCAGAAGTGCTGGCAGGGACTGGCATCCGCGAAAGGTTTCATCAGATGTTCTTTCAGGCAAGGCAGGGTAGTAGTTTGCAAGCAACGGTTGAGATTGAAGATGGGACTAGTTGCCCAGTTTGTCTTGACGTGTTGGGACAGGGGGATAAGGTGGTCGCTTGTGGGACATGTCGGAATCCGATTCATGAAGAATGCTTGTTGACGTGGAAGAGAAGTAGTAGAAGACGGTCAGCTACATGCGTGATTTGCAGAGCAAGATGGAGAAACAGGACAGATCAGGAGCCATACTTGAATTTGTCGGCTTATGTTAGTGAAGACGGCATGGCTGAGGAAAACAGCCTGTGCTGTGATTAGATCTTCATTGCACGCCAAGTCAACCTGATCGAGCAGAAGATAGTGCAAGTTATGGGATAATTCGATTGTAAATACATGTATAATAAAACATAGATTTTAGATTTGAGAAGAAAACATTGTTTGGAGTTCGAACAGAAGACAGAGGTATTGTTTTTCTCTTCCCATTTCTCAGATGACAAACTAAAAAATTACGGATTGATAATAGATTCTTAAAATTGACAAAAATCCCATTTTTATCATTGATACATGTCACATCTAAACTAACTTTTCCATAAATCTCTGGACATATAGAAAAGAGAAATATTTCAAAACGGACGAGAGTCAATAGTATTACTAAGCCAATCACCGATACCATACAAAGTCAATTGTGAAACAGTCACATGCACAACAATTAACAGACAATAGTTCGTTGCTAAAATAGCTCTTCCCGATTCCTCATCCCCAAAATTTTACTTGAAATAGAGCTCTGAGTAAATTGCAAACATAATTTTCATGTACAATATAGTTTTATGATAGAAAGAAACTAGTAACAGAAATGTTGGAACTTATTAATATACTGCTAACAGAATTTCTGTTGTCTTGAGATAAAGACTACTATGTGATCAAACTCCTGGTATGTTCAATGAAGCACCAATGCAAAATCTGTAGTAAAATGATTCAGAAATCTTGATGCCTTTGTGCCAATATTTCCAAAATTTAATTTTCTGTGCTTCGAACAGATACATAAGATAAACTGCCACGTCATTATTAATTTTGTACCCCCCTTAACCGTTTTTCAGTTTAAAATAAAGATTTGTTGATGTGACACTTTCACGGTCATTGATCATGAAATTGAGATCTCCATTTCTGGGTTGTAATTGAGAGTAGTTGGATCCATAAAGCTATCACCCCTTAATACAGTTCTTCATGGACATCAACTGAATTTGTAAATTGAGAAACTTGAAATTTTTTTGTATGTTTTCTCCCTCATTATCAGTTAAACTATAGCAATGAAGTTATTTACAAACATACATGAGAGATAGCGTGAAGTTATTTCTAGAGTAATTTATTCAATTTTGTGGGCAAATTGCTAAAATTCCCAAGTGGGTTTTACGTGGCCTAGAGGTTAAATTGATGAAAATGAAACTATATGGATCACAGTGAAACTTTGCTCAAACTAGAAGGGCCAACTGTGCAATTTACCCTAACGACAGACATGAAACAGATTAGCAAATACACAATCCAGGTCGAAGTGGACACCATTCTACGGATTAATATCAATAAATGTATAGGGTAAAATGAAATTTTAAAATAAAATGAAATAATCTTGTGGTTGGGAAAAGTAGATTTAAATTAGTAGATTAACGAATAATTGTTGCTATTATTAATTCCAATGGAAGGCAAAAGGAAAAACAGAAAGAGTAGAGTCGTTGTTATTATCAAGACAAAAATGTAAAACGCCTAGAAAGAATGATGTTATTAAGATTAATTGTTATCAAAAGCAAAAATAGAAGAACAATAAAATTAACGTAAGTTTTGATACATGTACACGATAATCAAAGGTTAAACAGAGACAAGTATAAACACAAGTGTGTGTGTGTGTGTGTGTGTGTGAATGCATGCCAAAGGCCAAAACTGTTTCATTACAAAAATTAGCTTCAAACATATTACCACTTATATATTGAGGTCATACTTCTGTCTTTATTGCGTGCTGTCAATAACCAAAATTTTAAATCATCCTGAAAAAATAAATCAAAGAAATTATCAATTGAATGACGAAAAACCCAGAATGGCAAAACAGAACACCAGACCCAGTAACAAACTCTTCTAGAATTTGTTTCTGTACCATTCATTGAAATAGAGACATAAACTACCATTTACCATTATGCTTCTATTGCTTTGAAAGTTCTCAAAAGTCCCAAACATGTAGGAAAAGTGTACCAAACACGTTTATTCTGTTCCTAACCTCAAGCAGCTGAACCCTGGTTCCTTTTCAACCCCCTTCTCCTTCATCAAATCCCTTATTCTTGTGACATTGTTCCACAATTTGCTAGATGCATATATATTGGACAAAAGGGTATACGTGGAGGAATGTCGAGGCTCTAACCATAGGCAGTGCTGAGCAGCTCGGGAACCCACATCTGAATTATTATATACTCCACAAGCTGCAAGAAGAGGCCCCCAAATTCCGGGTTCTTCTCGGAATGGAGAATCAAGAAGAAAGGTTTCTGCCTCCTCAAGATAACCAGCACGGCCAAGGAGGTCCACCATACAAGCACAGTGTTCCACTGAAGGTGGAATTCCGTAGTTATAAACCATCAATTTGTAGAAGTTTCTCCCTTCTTCCACTAAACCAGCATGGCTACAAGCAAATAGAACCCCAACAAATGTCACTGATGTAGGCAAAATTCCAGAGTCTATCATCTCCTGAAATAGGAGCATTGCTTCCTTGAATGAACCATTTTGTGCATAACCCATTATCATTGAATTCCAAGAGACTACATTCTTCTCATGCATCTTCAAAAACAGCTTACAAGCATCTTTGACCATCCCACATTTGGCATACATGTCAATCAGTGCACTTCCCACATAAACTGTGCATTCAAACCCTGATTTTATCACATGAGCATGTAAGGGCTTTCCCTGTTCAATAGCAACCCAACTTGCAACTGCTTTTAGAGCACTAGAAGAAGAGAATTCATCTGTTTTATGAAACAACTTGTGCATTTTACAGAATTGCTCAACTGCTCTATCTTCCATACCATTATGCACAAAACCCGAGATAATGCCTGCCCAAGATATAGCATTAGGTGTATATATCGACTCAAAAGCTTTCAGTGCACATTCAATGAGGCCACATTTAGAATAGAAGTTCACTATTGAGTTCCCAACAGAGACATCCGAATCCAAACCAAGCATGATTGAGTGAGAATGAACTTGAGCTCCTTCAGCAACAGCATCCGATGTGCTGCAAGAGGAGAAAAGGCCTATGAATGTAAAAGAGTCAGGTTTCATGCCTTCAGTTTGCAACTCCAAGTAAGTTTTTAATGCTTTCCCATACAAACTAGTCAAACTGTAACCCGTGATAAGAACATTATAAGTAACCAAATTCCTCTTCTTCATCTCAAGAAAAGCTCTTTCTGCATTTTTCATGTCCATACATTTTGAGTACATGTCAACAAGAGCAGTCCCCACATAAACATCTGATAAAAAACCATGTTTCAGGGTGTTAGCATGGAAGCATCTACCCACTGCCAAATCTGACATCGCGGCTGATGCTTTCAAAACTGAAGAATATGAGGTCTCATTAGGATAAAAACCTTTGTATAGCATCTGATAAAACAACTCAAGTGCTTCCTCTTCGTAATCATTTTGAGCATACCCAGTGATCATTGTGTTCCAAACTACAAGATCACGATTTTCCATCCGATCAAAAACACGCTGTGCATTATTTAAACAGCCACATTTAGCATACATATCAATGACTGACCCACAAACAAAAGTATCTAAATGGAACCCAAATTTCATGGCATAGCAATGCACACTTTTTCCAGTTCTAATCGAACCCATACCACCACAAGCCTTAAGAACACTAGCTATACTAAAATTATTCACAAATGATTCCAAGGTATCACAATCTCTAATCATTTGATAAAACAAACTACAAGCTTCCCTGTTCAAACCCAATTGTGAATAGCCCGCAATCATCGAATTCCAAGAGACCGCGTCCCTCACAGGCATTTCATCGAACACTCGACGAGCTTCAGTTATACAGTCGTGTTTTGAGTACATTGTAACCAACCCACTTGCAACAAAGAGTTGTTGCGTGAACCCTTTCTTTAGAATCAAACAGTGAATGCTTGTTCCGAAACTGGGTCTCAGTGATTGGCCACAGACGGTTATGGTGGTTGAAAATGTGGCTGCATTGGGATCGAACCCATCTCTGAGCATTTGTATGAAGCAATTCAAAGCTTTGTCATTGAAGCCCTTGCGTGCGTTGGCCAAGATCTTTGAAGTCCATGTGACTACGTTGTGTTCTAGCATTTCATCGGACAATTCTGGGTTTGACAATTTTCACTAGAATTTAAATTGAACACAATATAATGCACGTTATTGTATGGACTCAATTAAGATCCAATACAATTATGTTGTCTCAATTTTCACATTATATGAATTTTGTTCAATTGATAATATTTCATAAATAAAAACTAAGAATAAAGTAGTTCATTTAAAAGGAGTGAACTATTTTAAATTGGATGACAAACTATCAATCACTTTGACAATATTAAATGAATTATTATTATTGTTTTTTTAATTGTAGTTCAATTTCCAAACAAGCGTTATCCATTAGACATAATTAATCCATTTTAAAATATTTAAAAATAAAAGTGATATAATTAGAACTATATGACTAGATTAATATAGAATAAATTATAAATACATCTCCTAAAGTTTGTTTAAAATACGAATTGTCCTCTATAGTTTAAAAAATTATAAATATCTCACTGTCAGAATTTTTTATTTAATAGAATTAATTGAAAAAGTAAAATTTCTAACTGTTCACTTATATAATAATAAAGTTATCTGAATTATTAATTAAATAAAATTTTAACATTATTAAAAACTATTAATTAACTTGGTGATTTATTAATAAAAATACTTCCTTGTTATGAAATTAGAAATCTTAGAGGACATAATGTAATTTTGAAAATCACCAGAGGTAATTTGTAATTTAAGTAAATTTTAAGGAGTGTGTTTATAATTTACCCATTAATATAAGAGCCAAATTAGAAAAATTATGGGTACAATTTTTTGGAAAATTTTATTTTCAAAAAAATTTAAAAGTTTGACCTCACTAACAATTTAACAAATCAAGCCCTAACTTTTTAATTATTTCAATTTAAATCATGAACTTTTAAAATGATATTAATTCTAACAATTTATTTTTATGTATTAGTTATAACTAATGAAGAAGAGGCAATTTAAACAATTTAATTATTTTTGTTTCTTTTATTACGGTTAACAAGCACCTCTCACTCTTATTGTCGTTCATCACTGCTTCTCTTTTTTTCCCAATCTACTACCATTACATTCTTTTTCATTATTCACCGCTATTCCTCAATTTTTCCCAACTTATTACGTCCTTCTTCGTTTCACGATCTATAATCACTAGTGTCATTCAGTGCTACTTACAAAAGAGTAATTAAATTATCTAAATTATTCATGTTCAGTTAATTATTAACATATGGCTATAATTGAAATGAATACTTACCAATCAGTCTTATAATTAGACTTATTTATTTACAGGTCATAAATTTATTTATAAAAATAAGAGAGACTGATAAATTCATCAATAGAATCTAATGAGTAATAAGTTTTAAAAATAAGACCGGTTGGTAATTCAATTTTTAAAAAGTTAAATATTTAAATTAAAATAATAAAAAATTGAAATTTGATTTGTTATCAGTTAAATCCTGAATTTTTTTTTGTAATATATATATATATATATATATTTTTTAAATGGCAGCTAAGGTGTATGGTTGTATTAACTGGCTCTTATCTTTTTGCTTTACGTCGGCGTGTTGTTATTTGCTACCGCTTTGGGTTATTTGAACGTGTGGTACACTCACGCTCATCGTCATGTTTTATCATTGTTTTTGTTTTTTAGTGATAATTTTTGTTACTCTTTTTTTTTTAAGTATTAATATTTGTTTCCATGTAATTGTTCAAACCTTCTCAATGGTTGATCAAATAGTTCCTCAAATTTAAATTTGATAAAAAAATTCACTTTTTGCTACTTTAATTCAGTACCAAATCTTTCATCAAATGTAGAAATTTTCAAATATTTCATCAAATTGAGGATGGATATATCATTCGTCAAATCATTATTCATATCCATTAGATTTTCACCACCGGATGTCCTTCAGGTGTCCCTAGATGACCACCTTAAGGCAAAAATTATGAAAAAATTACACTGGCCGGTCAATCGGCCAGACATTCACCCAGCCGACCGATGTTCTGATGAAGTCTTTCCGTTAGACCATTTGATATCAAATGGAGTTTTTATTTAAATTTTTACTCAAATTTGATAATAATAATAATAAAAAGATGAACCCTTAGAGATACTCTTAGATGCTACGTTTTATATCCTCTTTGCCTATTCTGACATCTAGGTTAAAAGCCAACTTTTTAATTTTTTTACTTTTTTTTATCACATCACCTTTCTACTTTTTTTTGTATATTTAAAAAAAAAATTCAAAAAATTGACTTTTAACTTGTTTCTCAAAACACCCCTTTATATGCCTCGGCCAAAATAATTATAGGACCCTAAAAATAAAAAAAGAAGACGATATTATTAAGTAAAAAATACGGTCCCGTGATATTTTTGAAATCCAATTTTTTATAATGCAACTTATAATGCTTTAAAATAATATATCGCTTTAAACTTTGAATCTCAACATTTGGTGTCTATTTTTTTTTTGGACCTTATACATTGTTACATTATAGAGAGTTTCTATCGTATGCACCGATTGAACACCACGCTTGTTGACCATTTTATTGTCTATGCATTATCACTATTTTTTTCTTTCAAAATTTGAAAGTACCTAATGGGATAGAATCGAAATTAAATTTATATTATTAATATTTTGTACCATTTAGCTTATTTGTCAAGTTTAATTAAAATTGTTGATAATGTTGAAATTGGTTGGTAATTGGTGTTTATTTGCTAAATTTGATCATTTTGTGATAATTACGCTGAAAGTGAGTTGTAATTGAGGGTATATGATTAAATAAAGCTAAAATTACTAACTTTTTAAATAAAAATTGTGCTATAATCTATTATATGACAAGATTGATATAGAACTCGACTTGTTTCCAAACCATTGACTAGAATGTAGTGGAAGGAACGTGAGAGCGGACACCAACATGTCATCCCCTCAAATTAAATTATAATTTTGCCTTTATAGCATTAATAGAAAAAAGACAAAAATGAACGTGTGTGATTCAAATATTAGGGAGAAAAAAATCGAGAGGATGGAAGAAAAAATTATTTAATATTTTCAAAACACTAGCGTAGAGCGTAGCATGTGCTAGTAGTGCTTCTATTCATTTTGTTTCTCTATAGTCAAAATGGACTAACTAGTATCATGTTAACGTGTTAAGTTGGTATTTTTGATTGTACTTGATAGATAAATAACTATAAAAAAAAAAGAAAAAAAAAAAAGGAAAAGCTATTGATAATATCAATTTTTAACATAAAATTTAATAAGAATGATATGACATAACATCTTCACAAATGAAATCAAAAAAATGAATTTACTTTGATTGTTATATTTCTCCAACAAACTAAAAGTCAAGCAGAAAATATGTCCTAATAATAAAAACAAAATAAGAAAACTTAAATGTGTGATCATTAGATTAAACATAGATTTTGGCTAGAGGCTTAACTCACTAGAAAACATCTAATTTAAGATTAATTGGTAATGAGTGGAAGTGTCTCTCAATTATATAAATAGTTTAGAGAGACAATATAGACCGGTCTAACAATAATCATTTGATCGTTGATAATTTTATTAGGATCTTATTAATAAGTGCCCTTAAAATATAAGGAAAAATAAATGAAGAACATGGTATATTTTTCACAAAATTTAATACAATTTTTATTAAAATCAATGTACTTTTTAACTTATTTCCTTATTTTTAAAAAAATTCTAATATACATCCATTTAAAAATAATGTATCATATGCACAGGAGCGGAGTGAGTGGGGTTAGAGGGTCCTGGTCCTGCAAATTTTGCTGATACCCCATGCTGTTATGTATATGTACATAAATGTTTTTCTACCTTCTCTGTACTCCCTCCCTCCGCAAAAGAATTCTCATATTTTATTTTATTTGATAAATTAATTTCTCAAGTTTGGGTGTCTTTCCTGCCACCTCCCTTGACATTATTTGATAAATTAATTCTTCAAGTTCAGTCTAAATGCTTAATCTGATATAACTCACTCTAATGGTGTGAATCAAAACTTTCATCAAAACTTTTTAAAAACATTTAACTTATCTCAAAATTTCCTTTAACCAATTTTGATAATAATAAAAAAAAATCATCTCCAATCCTTTAGCATTTTAATCAAATTTAAGTGAAAAAATACTTGACAAAAAATTTAATTCATCATTAATTTAATTTGTTTTTCCCTTAATTTGATATGGGTTTAATAAGAATTAGACCTCATTCTCACCAAAAATTTTGTCAAATTTAATAAAAGATTTAGTCAAAAATTGAAGATGCTCTCATATGTGCAAGTATATAACAAAATTTTAAAATAACTAAATCCTAAACATTCTCTAGTTTCTCTATTTATCAAAGACAAAATAAATAAATAAATGTATGATGAATAATTAGTCAATGTACGGGGAGCAAATATTCCGGCAAGCCCGTACTCCTTTCTTCCAAGCTCCGTTTCTATCCGATCACCTGCGAGCAAATAACGATGAGCTACCCGGCGGTGTGTGGCCGGAAAAACCCTCCGACGATCAAGTTAGCACACACCTTAGGATAGAGAGAGAGAGAGAGAGAGAGAGAGAGAGAGAGGAGTGTTAGAGTGTAAGAATTTCCTTACAAAATGTTCCCTGCCCGCCGTATGGGGGGCGCAGACATGCTCATATACCCTTCTGCGCCCCAAATTTACTCCCATTAGTCTCTCGACACGTGACTCTGTTATCCCATCTGTCAACACAAATCTTGCTATACATCACCTAACCCAACTGCCAACCCACTCTGCTGGGAGCACGGCAGCCGGGCAACATTATCTCGGCTATCAACGACCATACTGATCATGCCGAAATGCAGTTGATAGTTTCCTACGACCAGGCCTAATTCCAGCCGTGCTCAACTGTATTCCGGCGAAGCTGAGCTAGAGATTGGTTGTGACGGTCAGCCAACAACCTTCTCGACCAAGCTCCAAGCGCCGGCCTTCCTACCGGGTTAAGGTGCGTGCATTACAACCTTGCAACGCGTGAGCCGGGGAGCCTCATCTGGGCTGTTCCTCCACCTGTCCACCCTTCGCGGAACCGAGATCATATAGCTCGGTTCCACGTGGGCTTTGCCATTACCGAGCAATATCACCGCCTGATCTTGGAGCCCAATACCTCGGCCTAAATCTGTCCGGCTAACGTCACGGCCCAATCTCAAATCATAAATCTCCCTCTCAGTCAATATAAAAATCATATAGTCTGAAAAAAGAAAACATAATTTCAAAGGTAACTTTAATTTTGTTAGGTTCAACTAATTGAAGATTTAAAACATCTCATTTGATGAGTATGTTTTCATTATTTGCATGTTTATCTTTAATATTAATTTACTAGTTAATAATTATTTAAGCTCTTTGAACTCCTTTCAACTCACTTAACTATACATGTCCTGATGTCTCCTTTTAGGCCCTCCCGACTCCACCCTTGCATATGCATTCCTAGTTATATCATTTTATTTTTAGTTATAATATTATTTTAGTTATGACTCATGAGTTCTTTAGTTATATCTTATGTTGTGTTTAATTATGATTTTTTTTAATTATGATTCAAAAAATTAAAATTATGTTATTTTTCTTTTTAATTATAAGGTACATATAGTGCACATCATTTATTTTTTTTATAGTATTTTCCATATTTTTAAAATACTTTTCACAATACTACTAATATTAAATAGTGGTTCACGAGTATTTATAGGGTGTTTGAGATGATCTAACTATACTTTTAAATTTTTTTATAAAAAAATTAAAATAAAAAATAATGGGTGTGTTTAGTTTCAGTTTTTTGAATTTAGTTTTTTAAAATTTGAGTTTTTTATTTTTTGTATTTTTTTTATTTTTAGTAAATATTTTTAAAATTTTAAGTTTTTTTTTTACTTTTTTAGATGCACTTTACTTAGATGTATCTAAAAAGTAAAATATTTATAAAAAAAATTAGTGAATACACAAAAAAATGAAAAATATACTGAATTTTTATATTTTTTATATTTAATGAATTTTTTAAAGATTTTTTTTACGAAAATTATATTTTTTAAGTATATTTATGTTAGGTGTGTCTTAAAATTTAAAAAGTTGCTTAAAGTATTAAAAAAATTTAATAAAAAAAAATATGAAAATAACAAAGCAGAATTTTTGAAACATATTTTCTAAAAAATAAAATAAACATGCTGAATATGATTAAAAAGATAAAATACTTTTGGACGATTATATTAACATTATTCGATTGGTATTAATGTGTTTGAATTTATTTATTTTTTTAATAGTAAAATAAATGGTCTAAATCGTTTAAAAATTTGTGAAAATTGTGTTTTGTTGTAAAATCTCTATTATTACTGTTTCGATCACACATCAGAGGCGCACCACGTGTGCAAGTGCAGCTTTGAAAGGCTAATGTCCACATCAAGTGTGCACTCTTATGCACTCGCGTGCTTTTTCTACTTTGATGACTTGAGTTGACTGTTTATTCTTTTAACTAAACTTTACTGTGATGTTAAAAGTACATCTCGAATCTTTTATCTTCTTCTTCTTCTTCTTCTTTTTTTTTCTTCTTTTTTTTTTTTTTTTTCCATCTTTTTATTTATTTATTTATTATTATTGATGGTTCGTTTGTTATGTGAATTGTTTTTTTAATTTTATTAATTTTAGATCAAAAAATCTTATTTGGAATATATTTTTTAATTTTTTTGAGAGAAAAAATAAAATGATTATGGTTTAAATGCGACATTTTATCTTATTAAACTAAAAAATTTATTTTATCTTTTGTGACTATTTTAACTAAAAAATCCTATTTTAGCTTATGCCAAATGAATGTTAAATTTGGTTTGATAAAAATATTTGAATTTTATTTTTAATTTTTTATTAAATATTAATAGTCATCTTCATAATTAAATTCAGAATTCATAAATTTTTTTATCAAATTTAAATTTGATAAAATTAAAAAAAGATAAAAGATTAGAGATGATTTTTTTGGGAAGAAATTACAAATACGTAAAAAAAAGAGAGTATGATTTTAATAATTAAATTTTATAAATTTTATCATTTATTTAATTTATTTTTTTTCAACATTCAACTGATTAGTACTATTTTTTTCCCATCAAATTTGATGGAAAATGAAATTTAGGATAAGAGTGAATTTAAAAAAAATAATAATAAAATATTAACATAATTCATATTAATTTTTTTTACTCAAATTTAAAATATAAAAAATTTAGGCACTATTTGGCATCCCTATTTTAGTACATTTTTTTATCTTTTTATTTTTTTTTATCATATCACATTTTTATTTTTTTACACATCTTTTATAAAAAAATCAAAAAATATATTTATTTAAATCGTTCCAAATACCTTTTTAATGAAAGATAAGAGATTTCATAATGATTTTTTTTTTTTTGTTCAATCAATATGAGAGTACAAATATAAAAAATATTTATATCATCAAACTGCACCTACATAGAACCCCTGTAATGGAAAAGAAACAAGGGAAATTACATAACAGTGGAGTATTTTGGAAAGATAATTAAAAGTTGACTTTTGACTTTTAACTAAATTTTTTGACTTTTTTGGAAAATAATTTGAAAAATTGATAAAAAATGACTTTTTTACTCTTTTTTTTTGTTAATATTTGTTTATAATGTCATGTCACCATGTCATGATATAAAAAAGCCAAAATATCCCCTCTCTATTGTGTAATTATAGATTTTCACCCTCCTCTCAATCTCCCGCACTTGAAAATAATGGAGGTTATGTTTATAAATTTCCATGATGCAATTTACTAGCCTCCCAAATGGGTTCCTGCACAAAAAAGCCACATTTGACTTTTTGAACAAACGCCCAAACGCTGTTTATTACCACCTTCTCAAAAAGAGCTAGTCTAACAACTTTTGACCTTTATTCTGTCACAAAATTACTTATACTTTTATGTGCTTATAATTTTTTTTCCTCTGTTAAGGAACTCCCTAAAGAAATAAACTAACAACCACACAAAGATATCAAACTCCTTTGTTTGGAAAGTTGAATTGACTTTTTGATTTTTTTGTTATTTTAGGCCAAGTGCAAAAAAAATTATTTGAATTGACTTTTTTAACTTTTATAAAAAAAAAAATTATATTTTAAATATGATATTTTAACTTATTAATTTTTTAATTTATTTTACTTTTTAAACTAATTTGGTCAAAAATTCAAAAAAATCCAACTACCAAACGAAGATATTAATGAAGCTTAAGTAGTAGAAGTAGTAGTTTTAACTAATATGAAAATAAATTGAGTTGAATTGAGGTTCAACAACTTTTCATATTTATGTAAACAACATAGACCTAGACCGTATCTGACAACCTCTCTCTCTCTCTCTCTCTCTCTCTCTCCTCTCTCTCTCTCTCTCTATATATATATATATAGTGCTGTAAAGTAGTGCACTCCCTTTTAGATTCGCCGGAAAAAATGGCCGCCGCCGGAACACCCGCAGATTCCCGCAAATTATCTAACAAAGTCGTCGCAATCGCCGCCGGAGAAGCTCACACTCTCGCCCTCACAGGTTACTTCTGATATACTCACTCAAAACTGTATATCCACATATACATACACATAATTGAGGTTTTTTTGGGGGAAATTGATTGTGAATATGCAGGGGATGGGAATGTGTATGCTTGGGGAAGAGGAATGTTCGGCCGACTCGGCACTGGTTTGCAGAACGACGAGCTATTTCCGGTCCGAATCGACTTCGATTCGGCTCGTAGATCGTGGGGAGGGCGGAGACTCAAGTTCGTGGAAATCGCCGCTGGTGCTTATCACAGTCTCGGTCTTGCAGGTTAGGATAATCGAAGTATTGTCTAAGTTGTTTTTTCTAAGTATGTCAATTGAACAGTGATTTTACAAATTAATGCGATTGTATGAATTTGTTGACACTATTGTAGTATCATGTATTTTCAGCAAGAATTCTGAAAGTTGTATCTGAATTCTAACTCATTTTATCAAATGATCAACAATTCCAGCCTAGAATAATCAACTAGTCCAGCAATTCCGAATCAAATTTCGCTCAATTTTAGTATCCAATGATTTCAGTTCTGTACCATCAAATAACCAAAATTTAGACATGATTAAAGTTAAATTCCAACTCAATTTCTGCACAAATGCATCAAATAATCAATATTCTCAGTGCAATTTCACCCAATAATCAATATTATTATATATTTATTATTAGTATTACAATTCTAAGTTAACTAAGTTTTGTTTTTAAATTGAACTCAATAGTTAAGAAATCACCTCAAATTTTTCAATATACCACAAGGGTATTATATTTTATCAAAGTTGTGGGATCAATTGACCCCACTGACCACCATGTAGATCTGCCTTGCTTAAAGGTCCTTTGAACGTGAATCAGTTTTCATGCTCACTTTGCTTCGTTAGGTGCATTCCTTCTATGACCCTACACACTCAGCTCACAACTGTTAAATGGCTGTTAACAGTCTCCAACGTTCAGGATAATGGAAGAGCAAATCAGTTTAAACAATGTGGATATAGGAAAATGGGAAGCCATTGTAAGAAAGAATACAAAAATTGCAAAAGAAAAGATCACAATAATTATTTTTGCTACTCAATTTTTCTTTACTTGAGAAACCGCCTCCCCCAACAAGAGGTAGCCCATGCCCTTATATAGATGAAAAAGTGTGGTAGTGTTTGGTAAAGTTTTAGAATTATGATTTGAGAATAGAGTTATATTTTGAGTTTATGAGTTTTGGAATTATGATTTGAGTATGGAAAATTTGTTTGGTTATGAGTTTTGAAAAGAGTTTTAAATTGAGTGATGTGACATATGATATTTGATACAAAAACTTACAACTCATAACCAAACACACAACCCAAAATACTATTCAAAACTCATAAAAAAATTCACAAATATTTTTTTTGTAATATAAACATAACAGGTGTAACCAAAAAAAAAAAAAACCGAACACGATTCCGGTCAACCGGCCGGACGACTAGTGGGACGACCGGTTAGCCTAAATTTTCCCGTGTTGGAAAGAGTTTTCAAAAGTGAGTGAAATTAATTTTTAAAAACGCTAAACAAACACCACATTCAAAAGTGAGTGTAGAACTATATTTTGAAAGCTCTACCAAACGGAGCCTGAATTTCTACTTCGGATTCCACCGTTACAAAATAAAAAAATTTTGACACTAAAAATATAGATTTTCAGACTTAATAAAGACAAGGATTCCTGATGCATCTACATAAATGAGGACTATGTAAGGGTTCTTGACACAATAATTTTTTATGTAGGCGTAGTCTTCTCATGGCCTTAGAAGGCTTTGTAGACCACATAAAGTCTTCACATGATTTCCACAGCTTGTGTGTTGGATTATTGGTGCAATTGTTCTTGCTGCTTGCCATGTGACAAACTATCCCTCCATATTAACCGCCTCAATAAAGTCCATCTCATATAGTCATTACACCCAGCCCATCCTCTGCCATTATTTGTTAAAATACTTCATCTACTTCTTCAGGGATATCTTGCTCTTGTAGCAATCTATGTAGAGTCTTTCAAGATATGCTTTTCTAAGTTTGTTGGAGTTTTTGCCTAGATTACTAGACCAATTTCTTCAATATTGTCGGTGTTCTTGTATAATTCTTCTTCATCAAAGATACTAATCTATAACAATCACTTAAATACATTTGAGTTTAGTTTACCCTAGGAAGCCCATATATGGACATGGAAATAGATACGGATACGGACACACTCTAACACTAGACACGATGATTTTTAATAAATTAGTATGAACACGGAGGGGTAATGACAAGTTTTTTTTCTCCTATTATATTTTTATTTGCTAAGTACATGAATATCACATAAAAAATATTTTAAAAAAAAATGAAAAAATAATACTAATTAAACATGAAAAAACTACTAAATCTATAATTTAAACTTTATTAATATAGAAAATACTATTTTATTAATCATAAACCATTATTATGTTGTTTGCATTCTTCAACATAAAAAATTGTGGCTGAGCTACTATCCAAGAATAAGACAAATTCTCAAGATAATCGTGTCTTGCATCATGTCCAAAGGCAAGACGTGTGTCAATGATGTGTGCAGGCGGAGAAAAAAAATTTAAAGATAAAATACTACACATGGTGTGTCGGATACGTATTCTGGTGTGAGATACTACACTTGGTGTGTCAATGTCTATCACATGTTGGACACGACTACGCAACTAAGTTGAAGTGTCCGTACTTCATAGAGTTTACCTAATTTTTCCTCAAAACATATTAAAAGCATTAACTTCTTGATATAAATGATTGATCTTTATTATCCCTTCCCTAGAAGTTGATGGTCCCTTCAGCCTTGTTGTGTCCTTGTCTAACTGCCAAAATATTCTAAATCTAATTGGGTTGAAAACATTTGGAAAATTCTCTAGCATTGTCAGCTGAGGTTATTTTGATCTTACCCACTCATTTTTAGACTTAGTATTTTTCAAAAATATATTTCACTATGCCTGCAAAATTACAGAAAAAATCGGCATTCTACGAACATTTACTATTGCACAATCAGTAAGGCCTTAGTACAAACTCTAAGGTAATACAAATTTGCAACTATGCCAAGACTGAGAAACTATTTTTAGTATTTTCTTTAAATTATGGTCTACTAGGTTCGTTATGGGCTTTGATACCAATTCTTAAGCCAAGAGTTTTTTAGTCAAGAACTAAACTTTTAAACATTTTAACTAACTCTAGCTACTAGCATAAAAGTATTGTTTCCTAAAAGTGTACTGGGTGAGAGTATTATTTCACAAAGGTTGTGTTTGGATCTTGGGTTTGTGAGCAGAAAGGTAAAGGAAAAGAAACATGAAAGAAGTAGAAGCTTTCTCTCTCTCTCTCTCTCTCTGCCTCTTTTTGCCTTTCCCTTTTCCCTTTGCAAATCCCTCCTCAAATCTAAATTCCAAACACAATGGAAGTGTAAGGACTAAAACTACCCATATTTGTTCAATAAATTTAAAGGAATCCATGTTTGGGAATTAAGAACTTCAACTACTCTTCTCAAACCAATATGATGTATCATTGCTCTTTATTTACTAGCCTTCTCTTTAATCTCTTTGATCATTCTATTGGGAATTTTTGGCAGTTCATCATACTTCCCCTATCATATGTAATGATATGTTAAGAATTAAAAATGCAATAATCATGCATGTGTATGCACATGTATATATAATTGTAGTTGTTTTGGCTTCTCAGTTTGGTGGATGACTTATTCTTTAGTTAGCCTTTTACATTTGAAAATTTGTGCTTTTGAGGAGTATCTGTCTGTATTTTGATTGTGAAATTATTGATCATGAATGGTGCTTTGGGGCATAAAATTTACCAAAGAAAGGAGAAAAAAAGAAATAAAATAAATTAAGAAGAAAAGATCCAGAAAAAACCACAATGGTTGAACTTTTTTTTTTTTTTTCCCATTTCTTTTACACCACTTGATGGGGTCTTTGTGATGAGGAGTTTAACAACTCAAATGATTGGAACTCCCAATATCATTGTCTTCAAATTTGTTGTGGACACTGCATGCTGCATGGAGGCAAAATTCCAAATAAGTTCACCAAATTTGCAGAATAAATGTGTCGTGAAATGAGATGGGCAATTTTTCCTCATTGATATTCTTACGTAGCGTGCTTGTTTTCTTGTAGACTCTGTACAAAATATCACAATCAACGATGTTAATTTTTTCGTTATGATATGTGGCGTCATTAACTCCATGACCAAATAAAATTATAGAACTCCTTGAGGGTAGAATTAAGTTTTTGTCAGTTATATTGCTATTATTGTCTCTAACAACAAAAGTAATTAAAAAATAAAATGTCAATTAATTGAGATCTGAAGGTGATGTTTGACTGCTCTGATTTTCCTTTCCTTACTGTTTGATTGCAGATGATGGATCTGTTTGGAGCTGGGGTTACAATATCTGTATCCTTTAGGAGATGCTTTATGTTTTAATTTCATTACACGCCATGGCCATAAGTTTCTTAAAAAATATAATGTTGGCCTCTCTACTCCTGGCTCACTGTTTCAAAAGGTCACTGTTCACCCTTGACTGTCACATGGATGGCCAACTTGGTATCGATGGTGAGCATGTTTTAGTTCCCTGCTTGTTAGAGCAATTCCTTGAGTTGGGCCATCCCGATTCTTTTAGAGATGAATCAGAATCAAACATTAGAACTTCATTAAAGGTATATATACTCATATTTGTGTTGTGCCTGAAAAGAACCACACTGAGCTTGGATCTTGGTTGGCTTAAGAACGTTTTGTCAATGTCTCCGTAGTTTATTTGACTTTCTATCTCAGGTTTCTTCTGTCAAAGCTGGAGGAATGATGTCTCTGGCAATTGATAATCTCGGAGCCCTCTGGATGTGGGGTAACTGCTGCCCTCAGCAAAGCAGCTCCAGTGAAGGGGGATTCTCTCTTGTCAGCAGTTCCATTCCAATACCTGTCTGGAATTTCCATGGTCACACAGTTGTCAAGGTGGCTTGTGGAAATGAGCATGTTGTGGCCTTAGTTAGTGCCGGAGAAACATATAAAGGTGGTGATCTTGTATGCTACACATGGGGTAACAATAACCATGGTCAATTAGGCCTTGGAGATACAGAGAGCCGGTTCCATCCCGAAGCAGTTGAGAAATTTAGCCCGAGTTCCCATTGGGCAGTTCATGAGGTAGCATGTGGGGCCTTCCACACTGCTTTACTTGCTCTTGACAGTAGAGCAAGCAACACGTTAACAAGTGTGTGCTGGACATTTGGCCTTGGGGAAAATGGGCAGCTTGGTCTTGGAACTACCCGAAGTTCCATGTTGCCTGAACCAGTGAAAGGATTGCCATGGGATGTGTTTCTGATTTCTGTTGATTGTGGGTTATTTCACACTAGTGTCGTTTCATCAGCTGGAGACGTGTGGTCGTGGGGAATGGAGAAGGGCCTTGGCTTATGCCCCGACGCTAGTTTCACTGGAACCGATGCAGGGGATGCCATTTCCCCCTTGTTTATTTCATGCGGCGGGCCGTCTAGGCCGAATTTTCCAGCGCCCGTTCAGGTTTCATGTGGGGCTGCCCATACTGTTCTTGTTGGTGATGATGGATATAAACTTTGGTCATGGGGCCGGGGAAGGAGTGGTGTTCTTGGGAATGGCAAGACCGTTGATTGTTTTGCTCCTAGTATTGTGTTGTGGCCACCACCGACAGATGATTTCAAGGAAATGGGATTGGACAATGTTGATAGAGTTAAAAAGAGCAAAGGCAAAGACCCTACAAGAATCACAGAGACGGAGAAAAGATTGATGGAGGCAATGGAGGAGATGAAGATCCTTGGGTCAAAACTTTCGGTCATGGAAAAATATACTAGCATCCTTCACGGTTCTATCTTCGGAAAGCCATTTGAAGAGCGAGATATTCCTATATCGTTGCAGAACTCGGGTAGTTTCGACATTGCAAAGGAATGGGAGAACATGTTGGAGTCATCAGATCGTGCCAAGCTTGTCCGTTTGGAGATGTTTTACCGAAACATGCTTGTGGGAGTTAAAGATAAGATATTGAAGAAAAGGATTCAGGAGATTGTCAGAGAATGTCTCGATTCTCCACCTAGGGGAGGAAACAATTAAAAAACTGTGGTATTGGATCGGACCCATTGCCTTCCAAATTATGATTTTTCAGATTGATATAGGTTAGTCATATGTTTGCTTGCACTTTGAGATTATACATGACTTTGCTTTCATAGATCTCGTTAGATAGTAATGTTGTGAAAAATTAAGAGGGGTGTAATAAGGCTTTGTAGATGATAGAATAGCCTGTAATTGCCAGAGATTGTTGGGCTACCTTGTAATAACAATCCTAATGTCTTCTTTATTGAAATGATGGAAAAAGATATTTATATTATCTGTGTTGGTGAGAATTCTAAAGGACTATTGGAGAAATATGTGTGTTCTTCATCGCTTGTTCATAATATTCAGAATACATGGAACGACGGTAGCTAAGAGATTTAAAACGTTTACATTCGACAATGGTAGCCGAAGAGATTCAAAATCCAGTTCACCAATGTTAGAATTTCTCAGATGCTCTTCATTTGATATTGCTCCACATAACACTTTGCTATGGCCTCGGCTCCTCGCTGCTTCATTATACAATTGAACTTAAAAGAAAATTTGAGAGACTTGTGAAACTCACCATGGATCTTGTTTCAATCATATGAACCGAATAAGAAAACATAATTTAAAACAAAATAAAATTAGGTTGTTGGAGCTAACATCAATCAAGCTTCAAGGTGCTTGCTTGATCTTTAATTGATAAGTATAAACCATAATTCAAGAACCTCTTCAACAACTTCTAGATAATTAATTTTTTTTTTAGTTTATTTTAAATATTTCTGTCTAATACATTATAAGCAAAAATAATACCAAATAGTCTAACATTAAAAAAAATATATAAAAAAAAATGAAAAAGAGAAGAAGCTATAAGCAGATAAGATACAACAAATAGTCCTAACAAAACCCAAACTTTTGAACTAGGTTACCCAAATTTTGTTATATGAAAATTATCAGCACACAGCACAACATATGACCCTTGGAAGACAACATCTCACAGAATTAAAACCATACAGAGCATATTACATGCATACTGTAGCATACATTGCCATCAATGCTATTAAATTTGTTAGCCAATTTATGTATATTTATATACATACTAATTTCTAAATACTTTTGTTTCCAATACTTTCTAAAATATTAAGTTCGCAATTTTAAAACCACAGTTTCTCCTCCAAAATATTTTAAAACGATGGTACCTAGGTGGAAGAATACTTTAAAAATACTTGTTCCCGTAACCAAACATTACCCAGGGGTGGTCATGGTTGGATCCAACCTAAGAAGCACGGACACTTCTAAGAAGGTAACGTATCCGTGTCGTATCCGTGTCGGATACCGACACTCTTTGGACACTTTCCCGACACGTGTCCGATACTCTTTAAAACGTGTCCTATTTTTTAAAGACCTGGACACTCTTTGAACATATAGATGTTGCTATTGTAGAACTAATATAGCGCTATGTTTATATTTTTATGAAATTAAAGCGTTACATATATTTTTTTGTTATTTAATTATGTGAATCCGTGGTCCTAAACCGATCCAATCCGTATTTAAATGGATTGGTTCGGATTGGTTCCATAATTTAAACGGATTGGATTGGTTTCAATTTTTCAGGAACCGTAGATAACGGATTGGTCTTGGTTTTATCCCAATCCGGTCCAATCCGAACCATGCTCACCCCTGTCATTTTTAACTTGAAACGTGTATGAAGAGGTCCGAATTCATTTTAATATTAGATTTTGTTAACAACTTAAATTCAAAATAATTATTAGTAAAAAAAATTTATTTAATAACCCTAGAAAAAAAATCATATCTGTTGGGAGAGGGAAAAAAAAAATCCCACAATTCATTGGCATTGGTATATGTTGTGCTGTTTGGTGCAGCTTATTGTAAGTTAAAAGTTGATAATCAGAAAATAAAAATCAAAAGCACTCATTCCTCAACTTTTAAATAATTAACTTTTCTCAACTTATTTAAATTATTTCTTTCTAAAAAACTATAAATAAAAATTACATCAAAAAGTCTGACACAAATTTCCAAATTAAAATAAGCTATAATCATCCTTATAATCCATAGCAAACACCCTCATTATCTTGTAATTGGAAAAATAAGTAGAAAAAGGGAACAACTCGGAATGGGAAAGTTTAGGATCTGTTTGGAAAGTAATTTTTTTATTAAAATATAAGATGAAAAGAAATTAAATATATATTTGGAAAGTGTTTTTTGATTTTGTTTAAAAAATGTATAAAAAAGTTGTATGAATGCGAAGAAATCTTAACTTTTTTATATGAGTTAAATTTTGGTGAATTTTTTTAAAATTTATGATATTAAGATTTTATAAAATAAAAGACATATAATATTTTCATAGCAATTAGAGTCTCTTAATATTTTCATAGAGAAAATTCGATAAAGAGAAATTTCTCTGTTATGATTATAGAAAAATTTTATCGAGAGATCTTAACTAATAAAAAATTATATTGGATCACTTCTACTATCCAAAATCTGAAAGAGATATTTTACTAATTTTTCTTTAATGTTTTTTTTAATTGTGATTTTGTCTAAAATAATTACTTGCCAAATGGAGTCGGGTCAGACATAGCTTGAAATATTTAGTGCAAACACGACCCAACCCAAAAAGACTTGCGCAGTTTCATACCATGCGCACGTTAGTACTAGGCACCGTCATTCACTCACACTCTTGACTTCAAATTTTCTTCTTCAATCTGAAAACCCCTCCAAAACCCTAGAAAACCTGCTCTCGTTGAAGCGATCAGATTCCGGCAAAAAATGCCCGGAATCTCATCGGAGTCCGGCGAATCATCATCTCTCGTCCCATTCTCGCCTGAAGTCGGAGACCCCGTCGTCTACCCCCTCCACCACGGCCTCAAGCCCCCAATCTCTCGCCTCTCCATCTCTTGGTCCCGCGGCAACTCTCTTCGCGTTTCGGTTTTCCTGAAACCTCAGTCCGATGCCGATGACAGTGAAATTGGGGGCAAAGTGGTGGAGGTGAAGCTCGGTAGTGGAGATGGTGAGATCGACGACGCGCAGTGGCGGAGGATTGCCTACGGTTCGGTCTCACCGTTTGCGCTTCTTCAGAGCCGGAAGAACTCGATGTCTGCGTTGTCGAAAATGTCTGCGAGCTCGTCTGCTTATGAAGCTGATTGGTAATCCGGTTGAACAACTTTCAATTTAGACTATTTTCGAATGCATATATACATATAGCTTTGTTTGATAAATTAGCTCATACAATATATTTATTATTTACACATATATCTGCATGTAAATTTGTATTTTTCGTTGATCTTTCAGTTGTGTTTTTCTTGCTATGTGCATTTAAAATTTAATGTGTGTGTGAGAGAGAGAGAGAGAGAGAGAGAGAGAGAGAGGGTTTTGATTGGACCTTGTGCTGCGGCTGATGCTTTGTAGAGCTTTATGTGAAGTATTGAGAGCTTTTCACAAACAAAGCAACAATGAGTAGTGAGTAGGAAACTGTGATGTATGGTAGGAAAAATAAGAAGTTGAGAACTCATCCAGTAAAATGAAATGATGGAAGAGACGTATAGAAAGGCCAAAGAATGAGATTCTATGACTTTAAAATTAAAAATGAAACAGGCATGTATGAGATTGCCTCACAAACTATAATACCCCGTTTAGATTGAGGGATTTGGTGAGAAAAGAAAATAAATGGAGAGAATGAAGTTTCTCATCACTTGTTTGGATGATTAATGAGGTGAGTAATGGCGAGAAACACAAATCACACCAAACTTAAGTTTTCTTTCTCACCAAAAGTGGTGAGATTTGGTGAGAAACCAAAATTACTTTTTTAATCATAGTCCATCCAAACAAGGAGGTGAGAAATCACAATAATTTATTTTCTTTTCTCATCTCTCAACCCAAACAGAGTAAATTCTACACCAAGAGTCCTGTATTCTGTTTGAATAAATTTCAGTAAAATTCCACTTCAAGTGGGAAGGATTTTAGTTATCATTTTTCCTTTAATTGTTGTTTGTTCATGCTGCTTCTTCTTCTTCTTGTAATTTCTTGAACCTCGTGCAGAGTTTTCATGCTTTACTAAAACTCTCTATCATGTCTTCTAGTCGTTATTTGGAACTTGACAATCACACTTTCTGACATAATTAGGTGGGAATATGTTATGGAGTATAGTAGTGACATAAATTTTCTTCTTGGTGGTCAAAAGTTGCCACCTAGTTCAGTGATTGAAGACCCAAAGACAATTTTAAAGGTGAGCGTGTTTCCGATGTGCCTTTTTTGATGTTTGTTTAATCTGTTGGCCTTGGATTAATCAGTGTCTTCATACGTAAAAACTTCCTTAACCGGTTCCAATTTAACGCCAGTTATTGTATCTATACACAAATCTTATATAGAAAGTTGAGGAGCCAACCTGCTTGAAATCTGCATGGGAGTTGCTGGAAATATTTTATGCAGACAAGCATTCTCAAGCTTGGATGCCTGAACGGCTTCTTGATTGGTTAGCTGTAATGATCTCTCATTTATTTTGAATCCTTTTTGGTAATTTTTTTTTTTTGCTTTGGAGGCAAAAGTTGAGGAGCCAACCTGCTTGAAATCTGCATGGGAGTTGCTGGAAATATTTTATGCAGACAAGCATTCTCAAGCTTGGATGCCTGAACGGCTTCTTGATTGGTTAGCTGTAATGATCTCTCATTTATTTTGAATCCTTTTTGGTAATTTTTTTTTGCTTTGGAGGCATGCCAAATTGCTTCTTGTTTTTCTCTGCAGGATTATGATAGCTTACTGTCTGGAACTCAGCCAACAGTTAATTCAAAACTTGTCAATTTTCAAAAAGATCTAGTCAGTTTGCAGGTTTGGCCCTATCCTGATGTTTACAGTCACATTTTCTTCTTCAAATTTAATTGGAAAACAAGAGGCAGAAGAACTCAGTTGTTGCAATTAGACTGAGCATATCTGCCTTTATGTTTTTCTTTATTAACAAATTTTTTCTAATACTTCACCGAAGTTCATAGCACGTTATGGTAGGATTGCTGATTGCACATCTACTAATTAAATGTCTGGTTGGGCCTCATAGTTACCGTGCAAAAGCTGTCTAATTTCTTCTTTGAACTTCGTTGTCTGTTTATCATGTTCAGCAGATATGCATGCACCATTTCAAATATGTAATTACTAATTGAGACTCTAGACTAGGTTCTCGCTTCATTGTCTAGGAAATCTGGCTGGTAATGGAGCCTATGAAGTAGATTTTTTTTAGCTATTTATATTGTGAACAATATTTTTTGGTCGGTTTTTGGAGTTTTTTTAATAAAATTTTGTTCAAAATTGTTCTTCTCAGGCAATTGAAGTTTGTATTTTTATTTAAATTATTTTTTGTGTTGGTGATAAGCCAGGCAATCGAAGATGATCCTAAATACTGGGAAGCAATGTCATCACCATTGGCAGTTGGTTGGCTAGATATTGCGGTTAGTAGTTTTATCCACAATATGTATTGGTGTTTTGCTTGCTATTGTGAGAAATAACGAAAGATGTTCAGTTTGTGGAATATGCCTAAAATTTCTAGTTCTTAATTCCAGGTGAAAATGTTGCACTTGCATGGATCGTATCAGCTTGATCAGCTTGGTAACCGTGAGGTTTGTAAGAGAACACTAGTTCATTGAATGTGGGAGATATGAACTTGAGTATTAAATGCCATATGGTCTCAACAACGTAATTTTAGCGTTCATGTTTTATTTACTAGTTTTAGGTTGACTATGCAAATTCTTCTTATTTGATCATTTACATTAGGTTGTATATAATATTCCACTTATCATATTTCATATACTCTTTTATTATTATTCTCCAAGATTTGGATTGTTCAAATTTTTTACCTTTCTACCTTAAATTTTTTTCTTTTCATAATTGAGTGCTCATATATTTTGAGTATATCATATATATTCCATCCACATGACAAAACCAGCTTATCCAACATTTTCTTATTTCTCAATTGTTGGTTGTCTTTTTTCCTCACTTTTCCCCCACTTTGGTTCCACATATTTTATTTTATTTTGAATCCAAATTATCTTTCTATAATTACTATAAAACCCACAAAGGTATTCTCAGGTGTGTCCAGACATGTGTCCATGGAGTGTCATAATAATAATAATAATAATAATAATAATAGATAAATAAATAATAAAAATTGTGACATGTCACATAGCATGTCTGTGTCGTGTTGGTGTCCAACATGTGTCGGACATAGACACGACACTCATTTTGGTGTGTACGTGCTTCCTAGTTATCTAGTTTAGACTTGTGTGTGCGCGCACGTTTTGTTTGTTTGTTTTTTTTTTTAAATTAAAAAAAAAGAAGATTTGTGTGAATTTCGGTCCAAGTTTCACCATTCAATTTTTTTTTTATAAATAAAATTTATTAAACTAAAAGCATCAAGAAGATGCTAAATAATCCAGGTTTCACCATTCAAATTAATTGATTCCTGGAATCTACATCAGTTATATTACTTATAAAAAGAGAATCTGCATCACTAATATAGCTTGAACAATTGGCAATGATGTTGCTACAACTAATCTAGCATATTTTGCATGTATTGAAACAGATAGAGAATGGACTGGTTGAAGCAGTTGCTGTTTTGATTTCAAAAATGCCACGTTTGCGTCCTGAATTGGCACCTGGGAAATTAGGTGAATGCTATAAAACCAAGCCTGATTTTATTAAGGTAAAGCCTTGTTTGGCATCTACTAAATAATCCATCTTTTTATCTTTTTTCCATCACATCACCTCTCTACTTTTCTGCACATCTTTTCGTAAAAAGACAAAAAGTGTATTTTTTTAGGACATCCCAAACCAACCCTAAGTTTGGATCTTTGGATACTTCAGTTTATCAAATTTTTTCAATGTCTGATGCATGTTGTGTACTAGGCATGGGAGAAATGGCGGGCACAATTAACTAAGCTAGACTGCAGTACATACTGGGTTCAGTGTGATCACAATCGGACCAAGGAGGGCTTGAAATACTTGCTACAAATCATGCTGGGAAATGCTAATATTCTCTCCTCTTCGACATGTAATTGGATAGAGCTGCATATTTCTCACTTGTTATACATTAGACCATTCACTATGGTCAGTACTTCATCTTCTAATTTTGTTGCATATAAGCTATAAGTTTTTGTTTGATAATTGTATAGGCAATTGTGGCATTAGTGCTTTTGTTCATTTGTTGTGCTGTCTTACACGCATTACTGGGAAGATGAATTAGCATTCCATATCCTGAATCAGGGTTTAGAGAGCATGTACAGCCTAGCTCAGAAATGCATGCAGTTAAAGCCAATGTCTTCTCCGCATAAGTTGATGGGACTTTTAATTGGCATTCTAGCGGAAAATACAGAGGTGAGGAATATGGATCACAAACTACTAGTGAAATGCTTTAGTTTTTATTCCTCTAGGATTTCATCTGGTTGACTGACTACTCTTTCTGGTTCAGGTTGTGTTAGCAGAGTGTTCAAGATCATTTGGTCCTTGGTGAGCTACTACTTCAGCTCAGCTCCTCTTTTGTTTGAACAAACATGGCTTAACCATAAAGCCAAAAACTAGAGTTTAATTTTTTAATTCTCTCTTTAGTTATTATCATTTTAATTTGTAGACTGTAGACTCTTAATAGGTTAAGCAGCTCATGGACATGGTCAAGGGTTGATGGATGGAAGAGCTATAAATGACCCATCGCAAAAAATCCCTTAAGACATTTTTCTGCATTGTAGACATTTTCATTTTTAAAGTTCTTATATCCTTTTTCAATACAGTGCCTTTGCCCTTGTAGTTTGGTGTTTGGTTGGTGAATCCTTAGTAGGACTGCACATCAAAAGACATGGCTTTTCTTAATAAATAATCACCAAATAGCACATGGACCTCCTCTTGCTTCTTTGACATTTACTCGATATTAATTGTTATTTTCCATTTTTGGTAGGATGGTTGCCCATGCTATAGAGTTGTTGACAGCTGGGAGCACTCAAGCAGAAATTCTTTTACATGAAGAGCGTTACAATCTGGGAGGAATCAGCATGGAGGAGCTCCATCGACTTGTCTATGCTCAAGTTCTATCTTCACATGCATTGACTTGGCAAGTGAGTGCAATTTATTGAAGAATGTAGTACTCTTCTTTTCTAAACTGGTTGATTTTTTCGAGGAAAGAATGTGAATCCCAAGAAAAAATTTGGACTGTAAAGCTTTCCTACCAACTTTTAACTCCTCTGCTATTTCTTATTAATTTGGACTGTGCACTTTCTTTATGTGTTTATTAATAATGATTAAGAATAAAAAAAAAAAAAAAAAAAAAAAAAGGTTTATTCTCTTCATAACATCAATTAGAAAGGTGCTTATACCAAACGAGAAATTGCAATTGGCTGCAGTTGGACCTATACTCATCAACACTTACGGCCAAAACACATTGTGGAGGAAATTGATTTCATGGATACTATGCTGATCGTATCTTGTATGTCTAGTGACAATCAGTAGCCATTCGTACTAGATTGGTAACCGATGCACCTTTATTTTCAAAAACCATAAAAAAAGAGATGACAGTTTTTACTATAGTTTTTTGGCAAGCTGAGACTAGACATGATCAACAACGAAGAAATGTAAGGAATCTATTAAGTTGATACTTTCTTCTACTTTCAATGGATTTATATTTGGTATCCAGTTTCATTTTGCTGTCTTGTGCACAGTACTATGAAATTTGAGTGCCGTGCTTGGTGTCATTCTTCACTTAGTCCAAGTCACATGAAAGCAGGGGCTGAGGTAGCAGACAGCTAATTCAAAAATTATACTCGTACAATGTGAAAATGAAATCTGACATGATGACTAGTGGGTCGGATTGAAGAGTTTGTTGAGTTGATTTTTGACCTTATATCTGGTACTTCTTTTGGAGCATCCACTGCTGGCCAATAACATCCAAAGAGTTGTTTTTGTTTTGTTGAACAATATGGTCATGCAGAATAGGTTAAAAGAATTCCTAGCGTTTTTTATTATATTATTCTCTTTTGTTCTCTTACTAGAAGAAGTTCTTGAAGCGGATTGATAATTCCTTTTCCCAGTATGCAAAATAGGGGATCTCACTAAGTCGACTCTTAGGATGTCAAAATACTGATTTCTTGATGTTTATCTTCAAAGCTATTGATGATGATGACCTGATTGCAGTTATGTCTTCTACTTTGATGTTTGTACTGCCATCGTTAAATTTATTTTCTGATCAAGTTCTTCTATCCTTTTGATGCTGTTGTTTCTACAGATTGCTCCAATATACTTGACATCATGTATGAAACAAGGAATGGGCCTGTTGGAGATTTTGTTGTACAAGCAACCTGTGCAGCATAATCAATTACTCCTCAAGGTGGTTACATTTATCGTTTTGGTATCAGGTTTCTTTTATATTATGTTATTATTATTATTATTTTTTTTGTGAAATTACTTTTTTCTCGAAGTTGATAGCATAAGCATTGATATGCATATTTCTGGTCAAATCTGAAGCTTCGTTTGTTTTAAGCAGAACATAGAGATTTGCCGTCTATATGAACTAGACAGTGTTAGTTCAAAGATAATGAAGGTATGTTATACTGCAAGTTGTCATCTTTCTCCTCTGAATGCAAAGGCAAACATCTTATGTTTTAATCTTTATAGAGGAACAAATTGAGTGAAATTTGGTGGGCATTTGTTTAATATATATAAACACATGTAAACTAGTGAGTTAAGGTTTGGAAGAGAAAATGTTTTCAGGCTTGGATATTATTCTTTAAAAATGTGGTATCTCTCTTGAATAGATTGCTGGAGTGCATCACTGGAAGCATGGAAAGAAAGGTTCTGGAGTCTTCTGGCTTCAGCAAGCTCAGGATGAAGTTTGTTTAAACAGAATTGCTCAGCAGTTGTTCAATTTTGTTGGAAAGTCTATCTCTGATGAAAGTCTCAAGGTAATTAATGCTTTATTTTTTCATGTTGGGTCAAGCAGCTGATAGGATTGCAATCGAGGTTCATTTGCATGCAGTTATATATATTGGATGATTCACTAAATTAATTCACCCTTGGTGCCCGACTTTGGAAATTGATTTTATTTTTTGGCCGGAACAGCAATGGGAAGGATTAATTGAATTGTTGGGTTCTGAGTCGAGGACTGCTGGAGGTCTCGAGTTTCTGCACAAGTATGTACTCAACTATCTGTTTGCTTTGGTTCAGTCAATGCATGTTTTTAACGATCATCATCTTCAATATATGTATAGTTTATTCTCAATTCTAATCTTGGATGCTCCACAGGTATAGGGATTTCAAAAGATCCCTTCAGCAGGTTCATGATGGAATTGCTACTGATGCCGCTCAGAAAGCCGTTGAATCCCTTATATCGGTATGTTCTGCGGATATTCTAACATAATGTAGATTCAGAAAGTAATGTATTGCTGTATAATAGGAGTACAATTTTGTCACTGTAACACACTATCCAGCTTGAATTCAATAACATATGAATCTGTTCAGCAGCGCAAAGGGTATGTAGGGATTAGATCATACAATTTTCCATGAAAGGATTTACCGTATCTTTTGTTCTACATTTGGGGAGTTTGACTTTTCCATCGGTAATGTTGTAGATAATGATGAGTTCCTCTTCTTATAATTCTGCAGCTTATGAAAAATCCATCCACACCTCAACGGTTTTGGCTGCCTCTTCTATATGACTCGGTAATCTCTTCCTTGGTGATATTCTTGATTGGGTCTTGGGTAAAAGCAAGAGATTTTCCAAGTCCCATTCAATTGTCATTATTGTACTAGTATGAGATTACAATGGAAAATTTGGGTTAATTTTTGCAAGCAACCTCTGGGTCTCTCCCAGTTATTTTTCCCTTATGTAAATGACTTATTATTTAAGTGGGTGCAGGTTCCAAGTCTTTCACCTTTTCTTTTCTTTTGTGTTTTTTTTTTTTGTTGTTGAAATCTTTTGTTAACTTTCCTCCTGGTTTCTGTGCAGTTAAAATTATTGAATTGGCAGGATCGTCCTCTACTGAATGTCTCTCAGACTAACCTTTTGTTAAATAAGCTGCAAGAGTTGTCCATGGCAAGGCTGCGACCAGACTTCATTGAAGCAGACTTGCCATCTCAGGCTTTGAGTTCTGTCAGGCTAGCTCTTGCGACTAATCTAGGACGTGCCATCCTCGAAGAATGATGCTTTGCTTGCCATGGAATTCAGCAGATGTCAATGCGTAGTTGGTTTTCTTGCCTCTCTGTCATCACTGCACCATTGAGTAGTATAATTATTTGTTCTCTTATTTTTTTCCACCCTCATTTGCTGGTAGATCTCTGTTCCCACATTTTGGTACAACGGGGTGAATCTATCTTTGCCAAGAAAATGAGAAATGGTGGGCAGGATGATAGAATGTGCCATGACCGGGAGAGAAGCTCTGCTCTTTAACCACTTCTTCTGTTACTTTGTGATTTATGTTGTAATATTCTCTAATGCATTGCAAATGATGCAGAAATGCATGATGAAGTAGATGAAAAGAGAACATATAAATATGCAGAATTGGCCCGAGGTGCCTGTTTGAGGTTTCAGTCAGTGGCAACTAATTTATGTGCTATTTTGTTGAGGCGAAATTTTTATTTGCACCTGAAAGGTTAGGCGTGTGCCATGAGCATCTGACAATGTGTTTGGGAATTACGACTGTAGCAAATAGCAATCAGGTAGAGACTCTGTGGATTGTATGTTCAAGTGGTCGAACATGTAAAGAAATCCATTTGAGTTGGAGACCATGTATAATTTAAACATTTGTTTGTCACTGTTTTGAGTAAACTGGTATGATGAGTAAATTTGAAAATTTATTAGAAACTTTTCAGTCATTTTCATGGGTGTCATTTTGGCACAAGCTTAGCACATTGAGTTGTGCAAAAAGACTTGGATATGGGGTGCAACAGTCGACTCCTTTTGGTATATTGATCAATACGAAGTTCTAAATGAGGGTGTAGATGATGAATGTTACTTGATGGTAAAGATGAGAGTTACCAATGTTGTCAAGTGCAAAGTCAATAGCATAGCTAAAAATTTGGTTATGGCTAAGCAACGGAGACTAATTCAATTAACTAGAACTCTTGTATCTCTCATTGATCTGAAACTTCACACTTGTGTATGGATCTTATTCTCTATATATTTATTGAAATTTTCTCTCCTACTTTGGGACTCATATTATATTGATTATATGTTATATTTGATCATCATCATCAGGATTATAATTCATTCAACTTCATTATAATATCTATACTTAACTGAATCTAATGGGTATGCTCGTAGCATGAATTATCATTCACATAAAAAGAATATAAAAGATGAAAATAAAATTAAAGGAACCAAACGACTTCTAAATATCAAAAAATATTTCAAATCTCAATTCAATTATCAAAGTCTTACCTATAATACATGCTAATAATGAATAACAGTACTTGAATCAACATAAACCCCTCCGATCCGATAGCAAGGAACACTAATGCAGTACATAATACCGATATATACCAAGCAAACAAGAAAATCAAGAAAAGGAAAAACAACAGAAACAAACAGAAAATCGAGAGCCTTCAAGGTCAAATAAATAAACGATAATGCAAGCAGGAAACGAAAGCGAATAGCATTAAACTGGATCTAATACTCTCTCTACCGATGATGAAAATGAATAGCAATGAATCGTAATCTTGACCCACCTTTCCTTGAGCCTTTGGAAGAAGTATAAAAAACTTTTGAATCTTTTGTGAACTACCTGCCGGAGTTGACAAACCTAGGTGACTCCGAAATACACTATACAATATAATATGCCACATCATAAGGTAAGCCCTGCCTTCCCTTGCCTTCCATGTCCTGACAAGACACTAGGCCAGCTGAATACCACAAGGAATGTTCTGCCAGAAGCAATCCTCACAAGGAGCTGTTTGCTTTCGTTGTTGCGTCTCAAAAGTTTACTACAGTTTCTTAGGCAAATTGTAGGTCTTTTTGAGGAACTTTGAAGCGGCTTCATCGTTCCGGTAACACAGGACACGCATGAGCGTGTTTGGCTCAGTTGGGTTCCACTGCCCTGAGGTTGGTGGTAGTGGAAGTCTAGATTTGGCTGACGAGCCATATGTTTCCAAAGTCAATCGCCTAAATCGCTCTATAAGGTTCTCTGTATCAGTTTGGAAAAGAGGAAGAACATCCCTCACTGTAGTTGAGAACTTATTAATCAAATCAGTTGGCAGTCCATCCCCATTCGCCCAAAATAGATCTTTAAGGGCCTTAAAATCATCCTCTATTATTCGGGAATCTTGCCGGGTAAAAGCTCTAGATGGACCTCCCCCAAGCAAAACCAACAAGAATCCATCATAGGAAGCTTTCATTATGTCGGCAATAACCCTTGTATGAACTCTTTCATGCACCGTGTCTGATATGAACGTCAAGTTCTGCTCAAGCTCTTGAAGGAAAGGTTCAATCCTAGAAGAAGATGGCTCTCCAACATACAAACCATCCCAAAGCACATGACTCAGATTATGAAAGATGATTTTGTAACCCACAGCCTCGGAGAGTTGTTGAACCCCTTCAAGACAGGCCGCAGGAGCTAGCTCGAATTTTTTACCCAACCCATTTGAAAAGTCTTCTGTGTGAGCAGATTCGGAGTTTCGCAAATGGGTGATAATTCTCTTCTCCACAACGTCTAACTCTGTCCGGAGTCGGTGCAAAGTGTTTATACGAACACATAATTGTGCTATCCCAAAGGAGTTATCTCCGTTCATTGTTGCAACCTGACCATTCCTCCTCTGAGAGATTAGAGCCTTTTCTTTCTTCTTCCAAACACCCTGAAATTTTGTTCCTACTGTACATCTGGTTAATGCTGGCATAGTCGGAATAAATGTGTTCCTTGATCCTACATATCAAATCAACAAATAATGGATATCATAGATGCTGAATTGAAACGTTCAGCTATATACAGACATTTTGTAAGCATTGCAAATATTTACCACAGCCAGATTTTGCCTTGGTTATGTAGTATTGAAGACATCTGTCAAGACCAACCATCAAGTCAGGAAGCAATGCTGGATGCATTGGTATTGGCAGCTTAAAGTACGCATCCAAGGTTTCGTCTATAATTCGCAGAACTTCAACAGCAGATGGAGCATATCCTTCTTGACTTGCTTGTGGATTCCAGGCCTACAAAAATGCAGAGGCAAAGGCAACATTGTGGCTGTTTGATGATAGGAAAAAAATAAATAAATAAATAAGGTAACAAACACAGCTATATCACAATGGATTTTGTCCGGTTAATAGCCACAACAACACAGCACACCCAAAACAACCCCTTTGGTGACCCAAAAGAACTGTTCATTGAACCTAGATTTCGTTATATGAAGATTCTTCATTTTTTGGACATTAAAAAACAAACAATTATGCAATTGGCATTAAAACACAGAATTACAGAATAATGAAGTTCCCTCTTTTTCTTGACAAAGCAAACAATTCATTGAATAAAGGAAAGGAAGCCATAGAAGATGATATTATGCAACTGACATTAAAACACAGAGGAAAAGCAAAGCACCTGAGAAAGAAGGTCAAAGAAAGAACCTAATTTTTGTTTCTAGGCATGGATAATGGAATCCCTTTTTTTTTTTTTAGATAAATAATGTATAATGGAATCTTATTCCTATTGGATGCCAACCAGTTACAGACAGAAACATAGAATTTGTACACATTGAAAATTTTACTTTCTTTCGTTTATGAAACATAACATTACATATAATTTGAGCACTGAGCTCTACCAATAGCATTTTAAATAATAGGTCCTATTTTCAGATTCTAATATTATGTATAGTGAGTGTGAGTATGATATACCTCTTGTTGGAGATTCCTGTCAACCCACTCCTTCAGTCTGTCCACTCTCGTCTTAATCCAAACTTTAACCAGATTGGCTATTGCAGCTTCAGCTTCAAAAGGAGGCATTTCACGTATTATTGCCTTTCCTCCATCATCACTGTCCACTGAATCTTCAACTGCAATTTGAACAAGATCTTTCTCCAACTTATCTGCAGCTCTCAACACTTGTATAGCATCTGGTGTCAACTCCATTATACCCGAAATGAATTGCTTCAGCTCATTCCCATAGCAAACATGAAGGGTGGCAACAGCCACTCCTGCAGCCAAAGGATGCCATTTCTTCAGTATGGGGCTGAATACATCCTTCTCATTAGCTGCCAGCTCACCAACATCCTTTGCAAGAATGGCAAGGACAGGGAGAGGATTTGGTTGGTTCCTTGATGCTCTCCTGCTTGAATCTGCCTTCTCCATTCTCTGCAATTTGACAGATCAAACTCTTCTTTACTCACAATTTCAACAATAATAGATTGTTGATCTTATAATTACTTTACTAAGCATTCACAAACCAGCAAATATGTAATGGGAACTGAAATTATGTCTCACTTGATATGGCCAGTACCTTACAGAAAGAGAACAGTCCTAAATTACATCATCTGTTAACCACCTCAATACAATAGACCCTCTAATACTAGATAATCTTGGAAGAATAAAATTTATGAATTAATAGAATTAACAACTAACAACTGACTTTCGCCAATCAAAAAAAAAAAAAAAAAAGAGTAAAATGAAGTTTTCTATGATTTTCAATGAAAGAAGATGTCTCTTGGTTGCACAATTTTCAGCACCCAAAAAATAAACAAAAAGCATGCATAATTTTGAAGGCAATGAACTTATTTTGCAATCATACGTACTATATCAAACCCGAACAAAAAAAAAAAAAAAAAGAAAGTAAAATGAAGTCTTCTATGATTTTCAATGAAAGAAGATGTCGATTGGTTGCACAATTTTCAGCACCCAAAAAATAAACAAAAAGCATGCATAATTTTGAAGGCAATGAACTTATTTTGCAATCATACGTACTATATCAAACTTATGAACGCTCCTACTTTACTTCCGTATTACTAATGGATTACTATTACTACTATTTATGCTTATTCATTTATACTTTTCAATTTTAATAATTAATGTCATGAGGAATTTTTTTTAATTATTAATTATTAAGTAACAAAATTATCATCCATACACAATGAAATGACATTGGATCTTCAAAATATTACTATTATTATTTTGATAAGTTGGTTCTTTAAAATATTATTAATTAAAAGAGACTATTAAGTTTTAGGATATCAATTATAAGTGGAACAATTGGATATGTAAAGTGCAAAAAAAAATGTTCGCTTGTAGTTAACCCCATAGATACAGTACTTTCTCATCCAATCAAGTATTTGGTCTACCAATGATTAGTCCAGAATGACATGCTGCAGGCCACATAATGCCAATTTGGCAGAAAGATTTCTCATTCCACCCATGGTATGGGCATAATGGACAGCACATGGGCAAGATTGTCAATATTAACTGAACTTTATGCTAAGCTAAAACATGAAGTATTATATACATACAATAGAAAACATTTGAAGGGTCTGTCTACAGACATTCACTTCTACGTATATCACGTATTATTGCCTTTCCTCCATCATCACTGTCCACTGAATCTTCAACTGCAATTTGAACAAGATCTTTCTCCAACTTATCTGCAGCTCTCAACACTTGTATAGCATCTGGTGTCAACTCCATTATACCCGAAATGAATTGCTTCAGCTCATTCCCATAGCAAACATGAAGGGTGGCAACAGCCACTCCTGCAGCCAAAGGATGCCATTTCTTCAGTATGGGGCTGAATACATCCTTCTCATTAGCTGCCAGCTCACCAACATCCTTTGCAAGAATGGCAAGGACAGGGAGAGGATTTGGTTGGTTCCTTGATGCTCTCCTGCTTGAATCTGCCTTCTCCATTCTCTGCAATTTGACAGATCAAACTCTTCTTTACTCACAATTTCAACAATAATAGACTGTTGATCTTATAATTACTTAACTAAGCATTCACAAACCAGCAAATATGTAATGGGAACTGAAACTATGTCTCACTTGATATGGCAAGTACCTTACAGAAACCACCTCAATACAATAGACCCTCTAATACTTGATAATCTTGGAAGAATAAAATTTATGAATTAATAGAATTAACAACTAACAACTGACTTTCGCCACAACTGACTTTCGCCAATCAAAAAAAAAAAAAAAGAAGAGTAAAATGAAGTTGTCTATGATTTTCAATGAAAGAAGATGTCTCTTGGTTGCACAATTTTCAGCATGCAAAAAATAAACAAAAAGCATGCATAATTTTGAAGGCAATGAACTAACTTTCGCCGATCAAAAAAAAAAAAGAAAGTAAAATGAAGTCTTCTATGATTTTCAATGAAAGAAGATGTCTATTGGTTGCACAATTTTCAGCACCCAAAAAATAAACAAAAAGCATGCATAATTTTGAAGGCAATGAACTTCTTTTGCAATCATATGTACTATATCAAACTTATGAACGCTCCTACTTTACTTCCGTATTACTAATGGATTACTATTACTAGTATTTATGCTTATTTGTTTATACTTTTCAATTTTAATAATTAATGTCATGAGGATTTTTTTTTTAATTATTAATTATTAAGTAACAAAATTATCATCCATACACAATGAAATGACATTGGATCTTCAAAATATTATTATTATTATTTATGCTAAGCTAAAACCTGAAGTATTATATACATACAATAGAAAACATTTGAAGGGTGTGTCTACAGACATTCACTTCTACGTATATGGCCATGTCATCTCCACATCGGCATCTCATGGTGATATGGCACCATGTGTCAGCCTCGTGCAATAACATAAATATAAATGTACCCACATCTCCTTAATGTCTAAAATGCCCAAAGCTGAGGCCTAGATCGCCTCACTTAGTCTCTGAAGATACCTAACACTTAGTCTCCGAAGAAGTTACCCATATTGGGAGTAAAGCCTAGGATCTCCGCACAGGCTTCATTGAAGGATTGTGATTTGGTGCTTGAGTCAATAAATTGTCAAGGGTGGTCCTCCCTTGACCAGCCTTAGAGAGAGAACTGTTGACCAACCAATGACTTTGATATGTTTGACATCTCTGAAGATGCCTTAACATGTTGAGATCTCGTGTTAGGAGAAGATCCCTGGTTAGAAGATTCTAAAAATCCCAGGACAGTAGATCACAAGACAGAAGAGATCTCAAAACAGGGATCTTATGGTAGGAGATTCCCAGTTATCATACCAAGGGGCTCATGCCACTTGTCTCCTTCAATTGACCTTAATAGCCCAATATCCCTATGAAAAGAGATCATCCCTATGCATGGAAAACATACCAACAACACGACACTTCTCTTGGCCGTAAGTTCAAAGCTTTCTCCACTGCCATCTTCTCTCTCTTCTAGGGCTGCCCTTGACTCTCCTCCGCCTTTAGCGGTCCATTGCAAGCTGAGCACCTACCGTCTTCACAAATCACCTTGTCCCAACCATCCTATACGCCATCATCCACAAAGAGCGCTTAACTAATTTGCTTTCATTCCTAACGACACATTCAAATACAGCAAATCAAATTAGCACCTATGCTCACCATCTTTAAGTCACTATCATTTTACTTGTTAGTCATCATAGATTTGTTGATTTTAAGAGCATCAATTTTAGAGAACAAAAGGAGGATTATGTAATGTTTACTATGATGAAATTCAAGGAAGTATTGTAAAGGTTGTTAAATCTACTGTAAAAAACTTCTAGTATCCTCATGGGATTCTTTTTAGCAGAAGACAATAACCCAACCAGTGGCTTTTAAGATAGGGAAAGCAAGAGCTCAGCCTCATTATCTGCTAACATCAAAAAAGTTGAGGTTGGACAGAGTTAAAGCTAAGACAAAACACAAACAAATTGCCTGCTCACATATGTGAATGTCAATTGATAATGAATAAACTAGCAACAAGCCCAGAATCGATTTAGTCATCATGTTCCCATGGATGGAGGAAAAAAATTCCTCAAGTTCATTTCATAATTGTTATAATAGAAATTTTTTGCAGGTTATGTGTATATGTAAGTTTATTGTAGACCATACTGTATATCCCCAGCACCAAGCATTCTACATGCAAAGTAAAAATCTAAATACATACAAAATAATGAAAATTACATATATAGGCAACCCATCTCTTTGATTTCAATTTTTGTGGTTTGTTGACTGCAGTCCAACATCTTCCATCATGTGTCCCTCAAGTTCCGCTATCATTTAATGAAACACAGCTTGCATTCTCAGGCACACTACATGCATAGTAGGGACATTGACCATGATAGATGAACCTTCAATGATAACATTTTGCCTTTTCTTATTTAGAGAGAGAGAAAGAGGTGCTGTAGTAGATAGTAAGGACTTGCCTGAGCAAACGCAGTACGAATGGACGACCTGATATAAGTGTCAATCCTGTTGCGAGCCACATCAACTTCACCTTTCCTCTTCCTGCGATATTCGTTAGATATGTCTTCAACTAAGATTTTGGCTGCTGATACACCCAGAGAGATGATGCTCTGCATCGAATCAATATTTACACTGTCAAAAGTGTCATGGTATGCCAGGAGCCTTTTCTCCGCCCAGCCTAATATTGAACTCAATGTAGAACTCAAGATTTTAGAGTATGCTGGATCTTTTGTTGTCTTTGCATCTTTTGCAACTTCTGCTAGCTGACTATCAGCAGCATATAGCAGATCATTTTCAACTTGGCCAGTCGCAACAAAACGGTTAAACAGAACCCATGAAAAGCAAATGTTATGAAGCATTTGATTAATTCCAAGGATAACCCAAGTTTTCTTTATGAGTTCCATAAGCTCATCGACTTCCTCCAAAATAGAAATTTCATCACTAGCATCAAATAATGCTTCTAGAAGCATTTCATAGAGTCGGAGATTCAATGGGAACCCATCTGCCCAATGGCATGACTCCACAAGAGATCCATCAGATGATCTAGAAGCAAGAGATGTTACAGCACTACGAAGAATTTGCATTGACTCATTGTTCCTCCCAGTTTCTATAGGCCTACCTAAGGCCCCATGAATGATTTTCTGAAGCCGTTGTGAATTAGTATTGGACTTATCTAGTGGTATCTTAGGATGTAACAGTAGTCCAGCCTCGAGAATTTTCAGGTTTCTCTTCTGCCATGCTTCATATTCCTCTTGATCAGTAAAATCTGATGATTTGAACTGCTGTAGTAGCTCTAGTGGAAGAACCATTGACTCAATTTTCCTTCCAACCTACCAAAACAAAAAACAAAAAGCTCAAGTAAAACTCTTTTAAAACACAAAATCCATGGAGAGCATTCCAAAATGAATTAATTATGAAGATTTTCATAAGCCACTACTAAATTAAGTTTAAATTCCAGAAATATGCAATCCAAGTCATGGACCAGAAATTTGATTCCCTTTTGCCCAGCAGGTAAGAGAGAGGTTGGCCAGTTTATTCATAACAAGAAAGAACCCAAATCCAAAATTCCCAGAAACCAACAGTGCAGAAAGAGTTAAAGGAACGTATAATATTTTAATGTTATGATTCAGTACAGGAATCAAATTACATTAAAAACAAAAGAACTGGAATCAAACAAAATTACTGCTGAATATAATAGTAATATGTCCGGTCAACACTCAATTTGTTAGATGGATATAAAAACAAGAAGAGCCAGCCAAACACAGGTCCAGACAAGCACCATGAATAGAATTATAAGAACAACCCAGTAAAAATTCACCCTTGCATTGACCAATTTAGCTGAAATTAAGAGAAATTCAGAAGAAGAAAAACATTGGGAATTCATCCCATTTTTGTACATTTCTATCAGTTAAGCTCAAGAAATAAATTAATTCACTGAATAAACAATTTTTTTTTTTGAAACTTTAGGCCTTCCTAAGTTAATCAGGAAACAAAAAAAAATTCAGAAGACAACTTGAGAACGAAAAACCAAGATACATTACCAACAAGTGATCGAATTCACAAGGAAAATTTACAAATAATCCAGTATCTCAAAACCTGTAATTCATACCCGTTGTAAACCAAATCATAACCCCCCAAAAAACTAAAGCATTAAGCAATGCCAAAATTTCCCTAACCAATTCATAAACCCAAAAGAGCACCCCAAAATATATATATATATATATATATATCAACAACAAACAAACAAAGAGTTGCAACATCTATAGTGATCTAAATCACATCATAATCAGCACCATTTCTTGTTAAATACCAATGGAACAATAAATTTTTTACAAAAAATACTAAGTTAATAATTCAAACAACACATCATCATCAAAATTGTAAACCATTTAGTGATTAGTGTGTGTGTATACACAATATATAAACCCTAATTGAGCAGTGTCACCTGCCCAGCCGCAATTCTCAACAAAGCCCTCCGAATTCTGGATTCCACAGTCTCCGAAACCCTCATCTGAACCCTCATTAGCTCACCAACTGTCACCGGTCTCTTCCCCTTCCCTCCCGACGACGACGGACTACCCTCACTCCTCTTCGACCCGGATCCCAAACCCGAATTTAAACTAGATCGGAGCCCCAACGCCTTCTTGACCTTGCTAGCCGCAGTAGAAGTGATCGATCGCTGCATCGAAGGCGAGCTCGCTAGAGACGACGGCGAAGGAGACGGAGATCGGTCGGCGGCGGCGGCGGAGTTGGTGGAAATGTAAGTAAGGGGTTTGCCGGAGGTGGTGCGGCTGGCGGCGACGAAGATCTCGTAGGCGGTGTCGCGGATGTCGGCGGCGGAGAGTGTCGGTGTTAGGTCTCCGAATGGGGAGGGAAGAAAGGCGTTGACGGTGGTATGGCGGCGGAGGTGGCGCCGGCGGTGAAGCGTGAGCTGGTGGTGCCAGTCATGGTCTCTCTCCTGGATTGGCCGAGTGATAGGTCCCTGAACAGAGAAGCCATCGTAGAGAGAGAGAGAGAGAGAGACAGAGAAGAGGGGTGAGAGAAGAGAGAAAGAAAGTAGAAAAAGAGCAGACACATGAGGGAGAGGGATAAGTTTGGTATTTTACGTTTTCATTTTGTTGTATTTTACAATTGATTCATATTTAATTATTAGATTACAAAATTCATAAAATATGCCATTAATGAAATGGGGAGAGAGATAGGAGTGAAATTAATTCGCTGTTTATCATTTGATTTTTATTTTTTAAATGTTAGTTTTTGGGTTGGCGATGTTGAATTACATCACTTCATTGACTTTTGTTAGGTGTGTTAATTTATTTATGAAATAGAAAATTCAACTAGCTTATATATTTTGCTAAATAATTTTTCTGTATTATTTAAGTTTTGTTTGAGAATATGTTATTTTAGTATTTTTTTGATTTTTTATAAAAAAAAAATATGTATAAAAGTAAATAAGATGATGTGATAACTTATAATAAATTTTTTACTTTTTGACTAAAATATATAATTGACAAATGAGACTTTATTGTCCATTTAAAAAAAAAATGGATAGTTAGTAATTGAACTAGTAATTTATTTTGAAAAATTCTATGAGGGTGATCGTGATAGGTTGGTTTTGACACTTAGGGTTGGTTTGGTATAAACTAAATAATATAAAAAGTCAAAAAGTCACTATCCTATTTAAGTCACATCATCTTATTTAAATCACATCACATCTCTAACACATCACATCAAACCTAACCCATATAAGTCAATAAGTCAAAAAGTGTACTTTTTTAGAACATCCCAAACCAACCCTTATTTTAAGTTGAATTTTATTTAGGAAATTCTTGAAGGATTATCATTTTAAGTTGAGTGAGTGTTTAAATTTGGTAAGTTCATTTTAGAACCAATTTCAGTGATTTGAACCGTTCATTTTTTGAACTCGTTGGGTAGAATATTCATGTAAAAAATAAAGATGATGGACATCGATAACTATATGTTTGAATTATATTTGTTTTAACAAAACGGATGATAAATATAATTTTAATAACAACTATCTATTTTTTGTAATACAAATTTTATGCAAACATATAGTTATTATATCTGATTATCTTAATTTTTTACATGAATATTTTACTTAACAAGTTTTAAAAAATAAACGGTTTAGATAATCGAAATGAGGCCTATGATGGATTTCACAGGTTCCTTAAGTTCTCTCATGTTAAAATGTGAATATGAGAAAAGTGTAATCCAATATTAAATCAATTTTAAGTTGTTAGTGTTAAAAAATATGTACAAAATATATTAAAATTATAAATATTCTAATATTTTTTTGTTTCTTATTGCCATCCTTAAGGCTGTTATCAGTAGAGGCTATGAATGACAATATGTTTGTGTAGTGGAGGAGATAAGACGAAAATGAGTTTTTTTCCTAATTTTAAGAAACAATAATGATTCATTCCATTAAAAATATCACTACTAATAGCACTAATACATTAAAAAAAAAATACAACTCCAAGACCAAAACATCACATCATTAATGACGGGACCCACTGCCACCTAATTAGTGGGAGCACTAATTAGTGCTCCCAAGCATTTTTCTTTAAGAAAAAATCATGCTGATAAAAATAAGCAATGATGTGTATTATAAATAATAATTTATGAATTATCAAAGCAAAAATATGTAAGACAAGAAATAAAGAAATAAAATGAATGTTTAGTGTAATATTTTAAAATTATAATATTATTATATTTAATAATAAATAAATTATATATTTTATGTATATAAATATTTTTTAATAAATCTAATAAAGGCAAGAGTGGGTAGAATACAGCCAGCCAGGGAAGAAAACTCAACTGTGCACTGCTTTCCTATCTTAAGCAAAAACAACCCACGGGACTGGTGTGGTGGGGGTGTCTTTTTGTGGGAGTTTTTGATTAATATTTTTTTAAAAGCACTATTAGTTCAAAAATGATTTTTAACTAAACAAATTTGAATAAAGTAAATAATGGGTTGCACCCCCTCTCCACTTTGCATAAAATGGTCGGCAATAACAATCTCTTTTCTTTTTTTCTTTTCCCTTTTTTTTTTCTTTTTTAATTACAAATCTAAGATTCATCAGTTGATTTCTAAATTTGGTAAATTTGGGGTGCAAATTAATGGGATTAGAGGATTCACTTTATTTTTTACTAGATCAATTTAAAAAGGTTAAGTCTGTTCCCAAAAAAAAGAACAAAAAAAAAAAAACAAAAAGAAAGATAAAAGAGGCTTAGCATATATGGCACTCAAAAATGATTTTTCCTCCGAATTTTCCACCCCCGAACATCTCAAAAGAGAGAAAGATAAGAGAAAGAGAAAGAGAGAAAAAAAGAGAGAGGGCCCCTCCTTTGCCTCCGCCGTCGTCGATCGATTGTAGATCGACCGGCCAATCGTCGCAGCAGCTCCGACAAGAGTGAGGAGCCCGCCACAGCTGATCACAGCGCCGCCTCCGATCTCTCTGTCTCCCACCGCAGCTGTCTTCTTCTTCCTTCTTCTTTTTCTCTTCTTCTTTCTTCTTCTTCTTCTTTTTTTCTTTCTTTTCTGATTGAAAAAAAATAAAATAATTCAGAACGCCGAAACGATGTCGTTTTTGGATTCGGGAGATTCGGGGGCAACTCTTTTCAAGCTACGTAGCACAGCTCATATGGCACTATCACATTAAAGTAGTGTAGTTTACAAGGAATACTTCAAAAATGCTCGATACCATATACTAGGTCACAAACAATGTTTGGAGTGCTATAAATATGTCATAAATACACAAATTAATTATAGAATCAAAGATAGAATATACATAAATAAATGATCGGTGGTACTACATGTATTTATTGGTATACTAATTAGTGTATCAACATATGTTATGACATTATTACTGACTTCACCCATTATACAAATTAAAAATATCCAAAACTTCTAAAATTATGTCTCATCTGTTAGTACACTAATTGTATATAAATTGATACATATAGTATTATTCATAAACGATTAATGCTATAAAAATAAAAATAAAAAGTTATATATAATTGTACGGGGAGCAAATATTCTGGCAAGCCTGTACTCCTTTCTTCCGAGCTCCGTCTCTGTCCGATCACCTGCGAGCCAATAAGGGTGAGCTACCCGGCGGTGTGTGGCCGGAAAAACCCTCCGACGATCAAGTTAGCACACACCTTAGGATAGAGAGAGAGAGAGGAGTGTTTAAGTGTAAGAATTTCTTTACCAAAATGTTCGTGTGTCCGCGTACGGGGGGTGTCGACATGCATATATACCCTCTGCGCCCCATATCTACTCCCAGTCATCTCCTGACACGTGGCTCCGCTATTCCATCTGTCAGCATAAACCTTGCTGAACATCACCTAATCTCAACTGCCTGCCTTCACAGCTGGAGCTCGGTAGCCGAGCAGCTATATCCACTGTCGTGCCGTGCTTCATACCCAAGCACTTCACTGGCTAAGCCCAAGGAGGACCGGGCTAGGCTGCATCTCGGCAAAGCCTAGCTCGAGGCACCTCCTGTGGTCGGCCTTACTGCCGATCAAATGATTACCTCGGCTAACCACGCCTTTCCGGGCGACGGTCATTCAGCTTGACTGGCTCCGCCTTTGCCTGATCAAGGAGCTCGGTCCAACCGAGCACTTCCTGTCGAGCAGCTTCTTTACAGTCTGGTCGGCACATGCTTGGCCCAATTTCTGCCCGGCCCAATTCCTGGCAGCCCGTCAGCGGGCGGATCGCCGGTCATCTCGGCCCCATGCACCATTAGACTCTCAACCTGTTCGGCCGTTATTTCGACCCAATTCTAGACCATAAATCTCCCTCTCAATAATTTTCATACATAGGGATGTTTTGACAACATGCTTTTTAGTCACTTTTTTAGGTTTGTAGCAAAAGTTAAAAGTTGGTTTTTTTTGTCATTTTCTGAATTTGGGAAGTTGGTTTTTAACCAATGGTGAAATTATAATTCTACCCCTCATGGGTTAAAATGTGTTACATGAGTGAAGTTGTAAATATTTTAAATAAATAGGGGTAGTTTGGTCATTTTATTGTGATTTAACATCATAAATAAATATTAATAAAAAAGTCAAAAGCAACTTTTTACAAACTTTTCAAATTATTTGTCTAAAAAAGTCAAAAGCTTGGTTAAAAGTCAAAAAGTTACTTTTTACCATCTTCTCAAAATAAGTCATAATAATGTGACTTATTATAGACCTTTCATTTCAAAATAAAATATTATTAAAGATGAATTTATTTATAATAATGACATTGTCATATCATTCTTGTCAATTTTTTTTTTATATGAATTTTATATATGTTTAGCTTTTTCTAAATAAATAATATTTTACAAAGTTTGTTAACGTGTACACTTTCAAAAAGTCTTACCCATATATATATATATATTGTGTCCAATTGTTTATTGATTTTTGTATTTGCAGATTTATTCTAAACATACACCTAACAACTATCACACCTTTAGTTAATATTGATTAGGGGTGTGTAGGTTTTCCTGCCCGAATAAGAAAATGATGAGAGAACGGCATTTTCTTCTCCTACGCTGTTTCCCTCATTCCCATCCCGATTATATTGAATAAATAAATTTCAAATGTATATATACATATAATTTAATTTAATTATATATATATATATATTTTGTGTCCAATTGTGTTATTGATTTGTGTATTTACAAATTTATTCTAAATATACGCCTAACAACTATGACACCTTTAATTAATAAATGTTGATTAGAGGTGTGTAAGTTTTTCCGCCCCAACAAGAAAATAAAGAGCGAACAGTATTTTCTTCTCCCATCCCATTTCTCTCATTTCCCCCTCAATCATATTGAATAAATAAATTTCAAATGTCTATCTATATATAATTTAATTTGTTAAATATGATAAATAAGTAACACATCAAAACATTCATATATATATATATCATTGTTTTACGTTTTTGTCTTGTATTTTAAATCTTTTTCATTTTTATTACTCATCAA